TGGAGAAATTTTCAGTCAAGGGGCCCTGATTGGGTGCTCAGCATTCTTTTCATGGATACTTTGAATCCAGTCTTGATCTTGGGTATACTTTTAGAAGAATAAATGCATGAGATGGATGCTGAAGAGAATCTAGGCCTAGAAACTTTTGGTTTGCAATGAATGATCATCACGTCTCAGAATATAACTATCGATCGTGCCACTGGATAAAAGATACTCACAAGATTTGGAAACAGTATGTAGTCAGGCCAAGGGTTCTTTAATTGATTCTCCAATCTTTTTCATAAAGTGACCATTAGCTAAAATTTGGCCACAAACAAGTCAGGCAGTTAAAAAGATGGGTGGCATATGCTTGGGGAATAGTTAAAAAGATGATCAGCATCAAGCATCTTCAATGTCCTAACTTGACCTAGCTTTAAAACATTAGATGTTATTGTGATTGTTAAAGGAAAATATTTTTGGTCGCTATTTCTAGGATTTTGCATCAAATCTGAGTTTGGGTGGAGGTTGGAATCGTAAGGCAAACAAAATACGGAAGAGTAAGTTTTTATTGTTAATATATTGGAAGTACTAATATTTGGAGCAAAATGCTGAGAAATAAAATTCATAATGAAATATGATGTTAACTTGGTGGAGGTTGACCTATATTTAATTGCATTACTTTCATTTATCCTAGTAGGATTTGGATCATATAATTAATCATTTGAATTTGGTAGTTTTGGGGTTTTTCTTTTTATAATTAAATTAAAAGAAATTTTTTTTCCCTTGCTAGTGCATCTTATATATATATATATATATATATATATACTTTTTGAAGAACATCTTATATATTTTTTAATCTTAACTTGTAGCATAATTTGATCTCACGGACTCGATTTTGTGAGGGTTATTAAGAAATCTTGAGGTGATTTATCCAAATTTATAATGATTAGATTACATAAAATGTGGTAAATGATACTTTTCTTACTTTACCTACAGGATACATTTCAGTTCATCAATTGCACTAAGAAAAAAGCATGCCACAAAAGTCATCCATATGCTAAGTGATCAAATTGAAAATTACTAGCCAGCTGCCTACCAATCTATCATAGAACAACATAGATTGAAAGCTTTCAATGAATTGAAAAAAAAAAAGAACTCATTTCTAATTCTTTTTAGGTGAGATGGGAAATAAATTGCAGCCATCATTCTTGAATTTTGCTCAAATATCATTTTTGTTAAGGAGAGAGAGGAAGTGTTGGTGATTCCTCTTGGGTGTTTTAAATTTTGTGAACTTATTTATCATTTATTTTGTTATTTGTATTTGCTATCTTTATTTTCGTTTTATTTGTTTCTATATGTTTTGGCTACTAGCTTTGCTGCAGCTCAGGGTCCGTTGGTTTTTTGAATGTAAAGCTTGGTCAAGCTTTGGCTCTTAGGTTTTTGTCCATTTTTGGCTCTTGTGGCCATTAATTCTTTTTTTTTTTTCAATAAATTACGTTTTCACGATTCGCATTTGTACTAAAAATTAAAATCAAATGAGATGTTATTCTTTTGTTTTATACAAAATTTCTGTTCTTGTTGAGCTCATCTTAGGATCATTAGTTCTCTTATTAATACTGTAATATTGTATATTGGTTGAGAAAGCTAGTTTTTGTTTTCAATTTTTTGTGAAATTATATGTATAAATAGAAATTACAATTTAATGAAGCATTACTTGATATATATATAACATAACTATTACATAAAAAAAATCCACAAATTAATATAAAGTTGAATGAAACACATACATGATGAAACTTAAATATGTAACATAAAATTTAAGGACCTCATCTTTACCATCAAGATAAAGCATCATGGCATTTTTTTTTTTTTTTTTTTGTGATCGGACCATCATAGGCTATTGAGGAAAAAAGTTATTGCAACAAAAAATTGACCTTAGGCAACAGTTTGTCAGCAACGGCTATTAAAGGGTTGCCTAAAAATGCTTTAGCCAACAGATATTTGACATTATGCAACCGTTTTTACGCAACGATCCATGTGTGTTACCTTTCGAAAGATTAGACAACACGTCAGCGACACTTGTGTTCCAACGTTACCTAATACTCCAATTATACGTAACAAATTAAACAACCAACCGATGCTTAGTGTTGCGTAAAACTTTAATGTCATGCAACAAATAATGAAACCGTTGCTTTATGTGGGAATCTAAAGCAACAATATAAGAGGTGTTGCATAAATTTTCATGCTTAGGCAACATCATAAAATAAGTGTTGTGAAATTTCTTAACTTTACAAGTGGATTTAAAGGGTTAAATTTATCCATTTAGGATATATTTTTTAAAAAATGATTTGTATATATATGTAGAACAATGATCCTAGTTGTAAACCCATTGAAAGTCAAATGCCGACTTTAAGTATTCTTTAATCATATATTAAAGATGAATTCTTTATCTGTAATTAAGCATATATATTCCTATCATCTATTGATAAAAATAAGAATGTGATATTTTGAAGTATGAAAAACTAATATGCTTTCCATTTAGATTAATTATTGATGCAACAGGGATAATTTATTTATTACTCTTAAAATTATCATGTTTAACATTCAACTCTTGAAACTATAGGAAAAAAAAATATAGACAAAAGATCTCAAAACATTCCATGATGTGAACCCAAAAAAAAGTGGGCTTATGTTTTAGGGTAAAAAATATCTAATTAATAGTATTATTATATGAATATTATGTTAGAAATAATGACTCAAATCTCATAACAGATTTGTTTGAGATTTGTTAGATATTGTTTGATGGACAAAAAAAATTACAGAAAAAAATTTTAAAAGGAAATTGATTCTTAATAGCCAAGTTTGTATGCTTATAAATATGTGAAGTTTCTACAGAGTTAGGTATAAAAAAAGATGTACGAGAGTTATAGGATTTTACAGGATAGACACCCTATAAGACTACTGAAGATTTACGTCTTATGAGTATATGTGTGTGTTTGTATAGTGCATGGAAGTGGATTAGAGGAGACTGAGATGATTTATATAGGTATGATGAATGGGTACATATGAGTATGTATTTGTGTTGAAAGGTTGCACATGTGATATATTTGTTTGGGTTAAAAAAACTCCATAGGACTAGAATAGATTGATAGAATTTATGGGTATTAGTTATGAGTGTTTGATTTGATTTGATATTTGCTTATAATTCTCTACAACTAATAGATCTTATTTTTTATCAGTGGACGTAGGTCAGTTGGATCGAACTACGTTAAATTATTGTCTCTTATGTGTTTGATTGATTGTTTAATTATGCTTTCGATATGTGAATTAGATTGGGGCTTTTGGCCTAACAAGTGGTATAAAAGCTATGGTGATATTTAATAAGTGGAATCAGAGCTGAGGTAATTTTTAACAAATGGTATCAGTGTTATGATAATTTTCACTTGGCCTAACAAGTTGTATTAGGATGTGGGAAAAACTAATGGTTCAAGCTGTGGGAAAAATTAATAGTTCAAGCCATGGGAAGAAGAGGCAAGTCTAAAGGAGCTCGATTCAAAAGATAAGTTCAAGTTCATGCATTGATAGATCGATTTACGTGAAGCATGAAAACACACAAGAGAAGATGATTGTGAGACTTTCATTGAAGGTGGAGCCAAGCATTTCTAACATATATTTGATGAAATTTGAGTTAAGGTAGAGATTGTTAGGAATAATGACTCAAATCTCATAACAGATTTGTTTGAGATTGATTAGATATTATTTAATAGACAAGAAGACTTGCAAAAAAAAAAATTCTAAGAGAAATTTTTTTTAATAGGCAAGTTTGTATGCTTATAAATATATGAAGTTTTTACAAGGTTAGGTATAAGAAAAAGATGTAAAAAAATTGTAAGATTTTATGAGATAGACACTTTATAAGACTACTGGAGATTTACGTCTTATGGGTATGTGTATTTGTATGGTGCATGTGAGTGGACTAGAGGAGACTGAGAGAATCTACATAAGTATGATGAATTGGTATATATGAGTATGTGTTTGTGTTGAAAGGGTGCACAGTAGATATGTTTGTTTGGGTTAAAAATATTTCATAGGACTAGAAGAGGTTGAGAGGGTCTATGGATATTAGTTATGAGTATTTGATTTGATTTGATATTTGTTTGTAATTTTTTATAACTAATGGATCTTGTTTCTCATCTATGACGTAAGTCGATTGGATTGAATCATGTTAAATTATTATCTCTTATGTGTTTGATTGATTGTTTGATTATGCTTCTGCTGACGTAAATTAAATTGGAGCCTTTAGCCTAACAAGTGATATCAGAGCTATGATTATCTCTAACAAATAAAATTAGAGCTAAGGTAATTCCTAACATATTATGGGTAAAAGAAATGTATTGTATGAATATGATAGATAAAATGTGGATAAGATAAGATTATACTAAACATCCTTTGGCTTGGCTACCTTGCTTTCGTGCTTATGAGGGTTTTTTTTTTTTTTCCCTGACATGATCTGGTGAGAGCCTTCCCCATGTGCCAACACCCAATTTTCAGGATCTAGAGGACCATTTCAGAACCAATTCCTGCCTTTTCACTCTACTTTCTAACCCCAATCAATCCTTGCAAGCAGTGAGGAAATCTGGTAACTAGAAGCATCTTGATAGGGATATAATGGTAAAAAAATTTCAATCTGGGCCGCTGTTCTAATGCTTCCTTGTTGTTGTTTCGACACGTTGAAGCACTTAAAGTCAGGAATGTTAAGATTGATGTGGACGTCATTTAGTCAACTCTAACTCAATTGACAAAAAAGAAAATCTAGCAAAAACGGAGTAAGAAAATTTTTATATTTAATTGATTTATTTATGGATTATATTATTTTTAACCAGCAAAGTCAGATACAAGTCTACTAATGTATCTATAAGTACCAAAAGGAGAGAAAAAATTGAGGCAAGAGATGAGAAGCTTGAACATAAATGCAATGTAAAGAGGAAATATAAAACAGGAAATAAATTGGAAACTGTAGGTGATAGTACGATGGAGTTTTATTCTTTGTCTGAACGGGCTAGTAAAAGCAAAACCCTGGATGAAGATAAACGCTAGTGCCCCACTTTGGTTTTCCACTCTCTTTTCTCTTTATCTTCTCTCTTTTGTTTTCTTTTGTTTGAGGAACAAACGGTGGAAACCTAATAGCTATAGAGTTACCCTACACTTATAAAAAAGAGGAACAGCTTCTTGCCCTAAAGAAAGAGGAGGGAATTTCGGGAAGAGCAGAAAAGAAAGAAGAAAAAAGGGTTTCTGAAAATACCATAGTTTTCTTTTTTTAACAAGAAAAAATATTTTATTTTATTTTATTTTATTTTTAAATTCGGTACAATATAAGAGCATTAAAAAAAACGAATAGGAATGGGAAGAGGAAAAGTGGAGTTGAAGAGGATCGAGAACAAGATAAATCGACAGGTGACATTTGCAAAGAGAAGGAATGGATTGCTAAAAAAGGCTTATGAGCTTTCAATTCTTTGTGATGCAGAGGTTGCTCTCATCATTTTCTCTAACCGTGGCAAGCTCTATGAGTTTTGCAGCGCTTCTAGGTAATTAAATTTTAATAATCTTTTCATTTATTTCATGTTAATATCAATCAACCCATATTTTTTCTTTCTTTGAAAATTTCATGGTGATCTGCTTTCTTTGCCTTTTTGTCTTCATTTTTTTCTTCTTGTGTTGGTGCAGTTGATTTTGAGTTAAGGGTTTGAATCTGTTTTTTTTTTCATGGATATGTTGATTTAGCTGTTCTCGTCTTGAAAATATTCTGGGGTTTTCAGAGATCTAGGTCACTGAAAATTTTCCTATTCTGAAATATCATAGGAGAAAAAAAATGATTCTTTTGTTTCTTAGACAAGAACATGTTGGGTTGCTGTTCCAAGTCTCTTTTTGATTGGTCCAACATTTTAATACTTTAATTTATTTGGTAAATTCTGTGAACTGCTAAATCAAGATGTTACTATTTCTAAAAACTTTTGTTTGATTATCAAAAATAAATATTCTGGGAATTAAATAAGTTTATGTTTCTCTTTATTAGCCAAGATATTAAATTTCAAACAACTCAGTTTCTTGTTAATGAGTGCAGATTAGGTTTCATAGGAAAAAGTTTGGCCTTTTGACTTTAAAGTTGTGAACTTTTTTGTATCCTCAACGGGTTATAGCACACAGTTTAATGATCATTTGAGAAGGACAATAATGGTCTTGGGAAATGTAATTGTTGCTGAGTTGTTGTATTAGTGAATGGTTTATGGCTTATGAATTAATTAAATGTAAATAAAAAGTTGAATCATGCTTAATCATCAGACCATTATTCAGAAAATCAAGTCAGGAGCTGTCACTCTTTGATGTAATTCAACTTTTGAAGTTTTAAGTGTTGAACCTAACTAAATCAAAGGCCATGAGCTTAGGTTAATTTCTCTTGTTCGAAGTTCGTTTCTAGCTGCCACTGTCAAAGTTTTTAGCCCAAGTTGGAAAAAGAAACAAAAAGGGATAAATTTTAAATGTGGGTTCTATGTATCCTGCCATGCTGCTTCATCTAATGGTTATCTTCAAAAAAAAAATATGATCAGTTTCAGGCATAACAAATTTTTTTTCCAGAAAAAATACTCGTATAAAATTTTCATTTGAGACCTTTGACATCAGCAACTATATAATCCACACTCCTATTGCTTACTTTTTAAATTCATATATTTTGATCCTTAATTATAACACTTTTTTTTTTAAATCGCAATATGAGGATAAAGAAAAAAAATTATAATTATTAAAAATTGAACATCAAATTTGATGAATGCTATTTTTTGAAGGATACATTTATTTTTCAAGACTGTTAGTGAAGTTCCTGTTATGTGCCTTATTTTCTTTTTATCTGTTACATTGATTTCTGCACTTGCTTTTATATGAAATTTAATCAAAATTCATTTTGCCTTTCAAAGGAAAAAAAAAAAAAAAAAAACAGAGTTTACTGTTTAGTTGTTTATCTTTAGCCTATTATAAAGTTGTGCAGTAATAATTTAAGCAAATTGCAGTGCATCATTTCTTTCAAATCAACAATGGAAATCTTTAATCATAGTGGATTTTTATTGCCTAATTGATTTATTTTTAAAAATTTTGAGAATTCTTAATCCCTAATTTTCTTAAAGCCTTTTTTTTTTTTTTTGAATTTAGCCTTAATTTTTAAATGTGATGATCCAGTGCAGCTTTCAGGTGTCTTATCTAATCAACTTACAAAGCATTTTGTTTTCAGGAATTAGAATTTGGTGAATACATATACATGAACCAACCTTTAACCAAAAGATGCACAACATATATACATCAATATTGAACATATGGACAGTATCTTTAACTGTGCATTGACACATTTACATATAGTACATTGTCTATGGTTGTGACTGAAAATTTCATATTTCTTTGTCATTTTACAAGATCCACATGCATCCCAAAGCTCAGCTTTCTTTTAAAAGCTTACTTCAAGTTTGAGCTTTTACTAGGGCAGCCTCTCAGGCCCCCCTTCTTGCTCCATTCTTCTTTCATTCAAACATAAGTCTCTTATGTTTTGGGAAAAGCACTAAGGCCTTGCTTTAACCATAAGTCATGCCATCTTCAGTAACAAACAAAAGATGGGTGCTTTTTCCCCTATTTCCTTTTTTTTTTTCCATCTCCTCCCCTCCCGCTGTACATACTCGAAGATTTCGAAAGTATATATTTTTCTTTTTGATAGTTTTGGCAGCTGATTTGCTTACAAATATCATTCACTTTATAGCATGTGGGGTTTCAAATTATTTGATGCAACTTTACAAGCAAGCTAGCATAATAAGATTGATTTTGTGGGTTACACAACATATTATAGTTATCTAAAAATTATTATATAGTTATTTTGTGGCTTACATAAGAATTTTGAATTACTAAATGGGAGGTAATTCTTTCCCATTCTATAAACTTCACTCCATCTCATTGAATCAGAGATCTTTAACTCTTAAGTTGTTTCTCAAATTCTAACTGCATGTTGAACTGTCTGGCTTTCTCCTTTGGATCAATATCATATAACCTTGTACCATACAACATATGCTATTATTTCCCCATGTAAAGTTCTTTGTCATGCTCTTGTACATGTTGGTGATTAGTTTTACATACCAATTGACATTTCCTTACAAACCATTGTTAGATTACAAGAGTTTCCTCATGTGACATTTTTCTAACTCTCTTCTTTATCAATGAAAGTAGCCAACAATTACCCAAAAAAGGAAGCCATTAAAAGCAAAAGGTAGCCATTAAAAGTAAAGGTAGCCGTTAAAAGTAAAAATTACCCAAAAAATTTACCCACTACAGTACAAAAAGCAAAAGGCTTACAAGAAAGGGAATAAACCCATACTAAAGAGACTTAATCCAACAGACAAATTCCCCAACTAAGGCATAAAACAGAACAGAATCATGATCCTTAGTCATTACAATGATGTGAAACTCTAGTCCTTACAATGATGTGAAACTCAAACAAGGACCTCATTAACACCAATATAGAAAAGAAGCCCCAAGGTGACAATTCTCAAGCATTACAAAAGCACACAAGTTATTGTCTGCTATGTCTCATCTAATATTACAAGTTTGATATGAAAAATATGACACTTTATAGGGAAGCTCTCTTTGCTCCATATTTGTACATATGTATGTGTATGTGTTGTATGGATAATAGTCACTTAACTTCCTTTCGGTTAGTATATTTTGAATTTTGTTTTCTTAAGGACATGTGTCTATAAATATTTTTGGATGATTTGGTTTGTACACAAAAAAAAATTAAACACAGAAATATTTGGCTTGTACACAAAAAAATTAAACACATAAAGTCTTCAATGCCACAAACAGTTGTTGTTAGGGTGTAACCGAGTTGAGCTACGCTTTGAAAAGTTTAGGCTTGCTTGTTCTATATTTATCAAGTTTGACCTTATCAAAGCTCTAAAATGCAAAATTGTCTAACTTACCAAACTCAAGCTTGATTGGAGTAGACTTGTATAGTTGAATTGTTATCAATCCTAGTTAAGCTCAAGTTTTAGCAATGTTATATGTACATATATAAATATATATATATATATATATATATATATACACACACTTAAAAATTGGTAAATTGAAAATATATCAACAAAGAATTTAAGTGCAATGCATGTAGTTAATTGATTATAAATATTAGTATATATAAAAGCATTGATAATTTATTTATTTTGGCCAAATTGATAATTTATTTAGATTTATTCTTTTTAATATTTATTTATGAATAAGTGAATTTCAAATAATTAAAACTTTTAATTAATCTATTTGTATTTCCTAGTTTCAAATAATTTATTTGTATTTCCTAGTTGTATTAAAACTTTTAATGATATTAAAAAAGGAATTAGGGCACACTATTTGATAAACTCCATTTAAAAGTTTCTATCCTTGTCCTACTAACTAGGTATGAAACTATAAACTGTTATATCAAGGTGATCATCTAATTAACTATGGTTTCTGATGGTAAGTCTCATAATGAAAAGACAGCTTCATGGCTAAAATGGCTTGACTGTTCCTAGTTGTTTGTTTTGAATGCAGTGCTGCCATCAATATTTAGACTTGTCATCCTAACTTCCTCTCTTGTCCCTTTTTATTTAAGCAGCATGGCTAAGTCACTTGAGAGGTACCACAGGTACACCTATGGACTATTGGAACCTGGTCAAACAGAAATTGACTCACAGGTCTATTATTCTCTTCTATTTCAGCCTTGGCTTCTGGGATTCATAATTCATTTATTGGTACAATTTAAGAAAGAAACTCTAAATCCTTGCATTGAGTTTTCAGATCCTAAAGAAAAACATTTTTTTGCCAATGCAACTGTTTCCCCTTTTTACTTGTTTCATTTTCCACTAGTCTTTTAACAATATGCTCAATTCTTTTTATCTTTGGTTAACTAAAGTTTGTTAATTGTTTTATTAATCAAGTTTGACAAAATCTAAAAGTGCTTAATGTCATCAAGCAGAGCAACTACCAGGAATATTTGAAGCTCAAAGCAAAAGTTGAGGTCCTTCAACGTTCTCAGAGGTAATTTGTCCAACCAATAAGCCACACAGTTTTAAATCGTCTTTCAATCATTTGTTCATAAAATAAGTTGCTTGTTCAAGTGTGGATAGTTGACTGCATTTTATGGAGCCTATATAGAGAGAGTAGACTTGATTCTTGTGAATATATACACTTTATATTGTGTAGCCATTTTCTTGGGGAAGATTTAGGAGACTTGGGCACTAAGGAACTGGATCAGCTTGAGCATCAGTTGGACTTCTCATTGAAGCATATCAGGTCAAAAAAGGTATTCATAATCAACTTCTTCTCTTGTTTTATTTATTGTTTTGATGAAGCTATAACCGTATGGGACAATGGATTATAATTGAATTAACAGCTTTTCATTGTCAGTTCGAAATGTATCAGTGCTTTTGTCAACCCCCCCCCCACACACACACACAAACACATTTTTTCTTCCCTTTCTTTTTTCGTAAAAGTTGGATAATGCTTTGTTCGTTAGCAACAAAAGCCAAATATGATTCAGTATTTGAGATCTTCTGAAAAGATGTGGGGAGAATTGATCTTAGCTAGGACTGAAGCTCCTTTTTCTAGAAATTGTTGCCAATTAAAACACCACAGGTTAGGATGTACTTTGTCTTTGTCTAATATGACTCTTGTTATTCTCTTGTACCGAAATGGGTAATAAGGTTTTCTTTGATTTCATTCTTTTTATCTTAAATCATTCAGTATAGATTAATCCATAGAATTAACTCCTGGGAACTTTTGATTTTTGACATTAGACAAACACAAACACACAGATGGTGATCTTGTAAGCAGAAAATCCTATTAAAAAAACTTTGTTATGAGGAAGAGTACACAGTGCTGCAAAATATATAATGCTTTTGTTAAGCTATAGACCAGATCCTAGACAGTTAGGAAGGCTCTTATTGTTTTCTTCACCTTGATATATTCTTCCATTATTCTACACATTATTCTTAAATTCTAGATCCTATATTTGTTATGTCTTTGTTCAGTAAGTACTTGATATTAGAATGAGAGATTTGCATTTCAAATTTACAATAGGGTGTATGATTAAACTCATAAAAACTTGGTTGTTTTATTTGTGAGATTTCTTTCAAATATTTGAAATATCTCAATGAGAGTGAATTTCAAATAAAAGTTGAGTATTAACTATTTTCATCTATTATCCGCCATAATTCTCACAATTTATATGAGAAACTAGATCCACACTTCCTATCTCAAATCATGTTTCTAAATAAAGCACTATGAATTGGAAATTTAGGACGGTCTAGATTCATAGGCAGTTAGGTGTCATTTGGCATTCTTGTCAGCTTGCATTTCATTTTTTTTCACAAAAGAAAGCCACAGCATTGGGACAAGGGAAGGGTTGTAAGTGCTGGGATTCAAATCCTAGACCTGTTGAATGCCTACTCTTAAGGGTAATTGTATGAACCGACTTAAACTCCTGATTTGCTTGCATTTTACTATTAATTTGTAATAACATGCAACATTTTGGCAAGGTTAGTGGACCTGGGGTTACATAATGAATTTGGTCTCAAACAGAAATGGTTTCTGGGTTTAATACTTCATAAAAGCATCTATTTTTGGCATTTATTATCGAATAAAAGAGGCATTATTCATGCATGTTCACCTATGCATCAACTTTCTGAAAACATGGGTCCATGGTTCCAGCTTTCTTCAATGACCTAATTGCTGAAGGACAATTAGTACTCACGCAAACCATAGGTATCACATTATGTAGTATTCAATTTTCATGAGACAACCAAAATCTGTTTCAAGTATTCCATCTATGTCATGTTGAAATTTATGCCTTTTAATGAATGCAGATGCAATTTATGTTTGACCAACTTTCTGAACTTCAAAGGAAGGTATATAATACGGCTGGAGATTCTTTTCTATTTTTAGTGGTAGAAGATATTTCTGTTATTCAGATATCACCATGCATGTATTCTTTGTACAGGAAGAATTCCTACTGGAAACCAACAGAAACCTGAGAATGAAGGTAAAAACCTGCTTAAATTTTATTACGTTAAAATATTGTATTACTTAAAAGAAATGTGATTCTTATCTTTCAATGTCATTGTCAATGCTATAAATTTTGTTTTTCTGCTTTGCCAGTTGGACGAAAGTACTTCAACACTACCATCGTGGGAAACCGGGGAGCAAAGTATTCCATACAACCACCCACCTCCTCAGTCAGATGAATTTTTTGAGCCTTTAGAATGCAGCAGTTCTCTGCACATTGGGTAACATATCGTAAATCTGTTTCTTCTTTAATTTCATGCTAATAGCTGAGGTTGACAGTCGATAGATTCTTTCCTGCTAACATAATTTTTCCTTCAACTTTTCGTGCTACAGTTACAATCCTACTGTAACAGATCAGGCCACTGCTGCTACATCCTCTACACCAAGTGGATTCATCATCCCTGGTTGGATGCTTTGATTGTTTTAACTTAAGCTAAAGAATCCAGATCTTCTCATATAACTGATAAGAATAGAGTACAATAAGCAAATCCCAACCTATGTTTTGTTCTATCTGTTATGAAGGATGGTTGAAGTGTAGGGCGAAGCTCCCATGTAATAATTATGTGGAAAACCATATTTGCTACTAAGAATGCTAAGTTACTCATAATATGCCAACTCCTTTATTCTTGAACTCTTAATATTACTTGTATAAACGTTTTATTACTTGCATTTGCAAATTTCATTTATATAATCAAAATAGCTGGTTACCAATAAATTAGAAAAAATAAAGGAATTTATATGATCATGGTTTGGTTCTTTTTTTTTTTTTTTTTTACTTTTTGGATAATTAAGGTTAGGTTTGATGATGGATCGGATTTGATTTAGTTATTTTTGTTAATATATAATGTTTTAAAATTTTAAAATCTGAATCAATTTTCTTTTTGAAACCAAATTAATATTGATTTGAATTGATTCAATTATTGATTTTTGAAAATAGATTTAGATATAAAATAACTATTTATATTCTATAAAAATTAATAAAAACTTATAATTCAGTTCAGTTATTTTCATTTTTCTTTTTCATTTCATGATCTGAAAACTTATTCTAAATTTTAATATCCAATTCAACTTAGATAAAAAAAAAATCTCATACGAGTCAAACAAACGTTACAATTTTAAATCGATTTAATTTATCTTTAGCCATTATAAAAATACTGCAGCATTGGAAGTAACGTAGAATTTCTAGTTTGAAGAGTATGGACATACATGACTTAGAAAATGCTAGGTATTTGTCTTTTCAATTGAAAGTAAAGTTTAGGTGTCAAGATCAGCCATATCCAGAAAGATAATATCTGAAGCAAGGCGTGAATAAAGTTGGGATGAAAATTCAATGCAGTAGGTTGAAGCAATATTGAATGTGCTTTTATCAGAGATCACCAGTGGGACAATTTGACATTGGGGTTGGATGAATCTGCTCAGAAAATTGATAGGCATTAACTTACCTGCTTAAATTACTTTCAATGTGAGGTTTGTATTATTGCAACTTGGCTTTTCTTAAAGTACTATTAGTAGTACTAATATTTTTACAAGATATACTAGCTAGTTAACAATTTTAAATAATGCTTTCAGGTTGAATTTAGGTTTTAATTAATTAAATTGATTCATATAGTTAATTTTAAAAAATATATATCTAATAGATTTAAAGTTTAAATTTCGGTATTTATAACTATTTTTCTATTATGTGTTCCATCTCCTTCCTTTTCTATCTTACGAATTTTCTATCTACACTACCAGTTCTTGAACAAAGTTGAAGTAAGATTAGAGGATTGACATGTCTTATTAAAGAACATTTATAAAAATTAAGTAATTAATAAATGGATATATGATAATTATTTGACCTTGTCCATGGAGTTTTAAAGTAGTCCACCCTCTGCATTAATTTTTATAATAATAGTACTCTTGTTTCATGAATACTTTTTAATTGGATTTTTAATTGTGTATCTAACTTCCAAAGTATATCCATTCCCCTCCATAAAAAAGAATGTGGGAATAACATCGAATGGTCTCGACCCCTTAAAGGAGTTTGGAAAATTAATGTAGATGGATCGGCTATAGGTAAGCCTGATCCTACAGGAATAGGAGGTGTTATCCGCGATTGGAAGGGGAAAGTATTGCTAATGTTGTCCAAGAATGTTAGAGTCAAGGAATCGAACCCAGCAGAGCTGTTGGTGGTAGTTGAAGCCCTTACTATTGTGGTTAATGCCAATCTGAATCCCTTGCCTGATATTATTATCGAAAGCGACTCCAAAATTATTACAGCCTGGCTCAACAAAGTAAGTGAATACTCTTGAAAGTATAACGATTTGTTGAATAGGTTGTACAATCTCTTCGTTAGGGTTAAGAACATCACTTTTGTACATGGTTTTAGAGAGGTTAATTGTTTTGTGGACTCTCTAGCTAAGATGAGAGTGCACAGATCTTGCGATTTTGTAACTTGACTGTAATGAACCGTTTTATATAAATAACATCTTTATTTCAATCTTAAAAAAAAAATGGTCAAATTCTTTTTAGCTTTGACTTTCATTTTATTTTTAAAGTATTAAAAAAATATTTTCTAAATCTATAAATGAGATTTTTAGATATATTTTTATAAAAAATTAGTTTAATAAAATATTTAAAATATTAATGATCAAAAATAAAAATTTTAATCCCTTTACTCGTTGCCTCATTGGAAAGTTGGATGCGGAGAGATTCAAAGATCTCTTGATTTGATAGCAGTAGTGATAAGTTCCGGTTTAAGGCAGCTAACTTGGATTTGCGTTTTTATTTTAGTTTGGCTTATATGTTATGGCTGCCAATCGCTGCCCCTAAAATTAGCTCTACTTCTCCCCATTAAAGGGAAGCTTTTGCTTTTAACCAATTGCATGTCTGTGGTTTGGTTGGGTTTCTCCCCAAACTTAACCCCAATTGTCCTGTTTCCATATAAACGTAGAGGAAAAATAAAGGAAATTTTGTGGTGCAATAGCATTAATGTTAAGGGTATTTTTGAGTATAAAGGATAAATTGTTTTTTTTTTTCTCTCATTAGAAACTGTCATAAGCATTTTTATATTCCAACATGAACATGTTAAGTTAACCTGACACATATAATATAATGTTAACTCGATTACGTCACTATTTTACTTTACAGATCTTTTATTTTTTACTTATAAATAGAGTCATCCAAATGCTATCTAATCAATCTAATTCTCTTTTTTATTTTTCTATTTACTTATCCTTTTAATCTTGCAGGAAACACTTCCTACTTTTTTATTACTCTTTTTCTCTCGTAATGTCAGGGTCCTTATTTCTAGCTAGAAACTCAGCACAAACAATTAATCATTTGACAAATACAATAAAAGTCTTTAGCTACTTCATATGGTTTTTATATAGGGAATGGAGGTTCGAGCTTCAGTCTTCATGTGCTTTCTTATGCAATATTATACCTAGCTAACAAAGAAAAGGGAAGGGGCCACTTCTTTTTAGTGAAGGTAATTCCTTTTATGGTGAAATATGGATGGTGATAAAAATGGTACATGGGTCTGAGATGAATTGCCACAATTTAAACCATGTTAATTTCCCATGTTTGTCAACTAGATATCTTGCAATAAACAAAGGGGTCTTTTTAAATTTTTTTTTTTTTAAGTTATGAACTCGATACATTTGATTTTAGAGTTATCATTGAACTAACCGCTTATTAAATAATTATTTTAATTGATAGAAATTACAAATGTGTTTGCAATGTGTACTTAACTATAAACATTTTGCCAATTTTTTTGGCTATATATGCATTAAACAAATCCAGATTTGAAAAATGAAGACAACTGAAGTAATATCAATGTTGTGATTGTAATCAAATAATGCAAATTTTAAAAATAAATAAAAAGCTTTTATGTATCAATGTGTATTGGCTCATCAATGGGACTTTAGCTTAGTCCAAGAACAAAAAGTTTAAGAGGTTTAGTTAATGTCCTTATGCCTATAATATCTTCCATATATATACACACACAATAGGTAACAGCTTCTTCCTATGGTTGGTTTTGTTGCTTCATCATACATCATTAGGCACTGTTTCGGCATTGATCAAATGTCAGCATGGAAGCTATAATTATTGTAGTGTAATTAATCAATAATAATTTAATATTATATGAAATTAAAAAAAATTATATGAAGTTCGTACTTTTAAGTGGTAGATTATTATAGAATTTTTTATTTTAATTTACTAATTATAAGGTTATATTAAAAAAATTAAAATGAAATGCTCCTAGCTTTAATTAATTACTCTCTTCCACTCAAAGAAATGGTCACAGTTTGATATTTGGCAAATAATTATCTTAAATATTTTAGTAAATTAACTTTATATATCTAAAATTACTTTATTGAAAGCTTGTATTCTTTTTTTTTTTTTTTCTAAATTCAATTGGTAAAGGAATTTTTTTTTATTGTCAACTTGAATTGGATTTTTATGACAAATATTTCTAAAATAAAATTCTAAATGTGCCAAATCAATATTAAAAGTGAATCCTTAAAATAGTTTTAAAAAAATTTATATATTGCAAAACTTGAAAAACATTTTGACCTATTAAAAATAATATAAATAAATAAAAAAGAAGACAAAATTAGAAAAAGATTGACGATGAAAAATCAAAGAGTATTCAAGGAAAATGACTTCGAGAAAACAATAAATTTATTATAAAATTGGGTTTCTTTTTGGTTTTTAGTTAAGAAATTATTAATGAAATTAATACTTGTACTTAAAAAGAAGAACAATTTTCAAAGTCATCTAAAATTAATTTGTAATTTTATTATGGAGTGGGGAGCCTTACGGTCTTTAGGAAGGGTAGGAGGGGCAACCATTTATAAGTTTACATGATAAACACAATAATTGATAATTTTATTATATAATTTTATATAATAATTTAAAAGTCGAAGAAATATGTAATTCTTATAATAGTGTAAGTGGATCTTTATTTTTAAAAAATTACGATTAAGACATTAAAAAATTCTTAAGATATATGCAATTATTGTTTATGAAAAATAAGTAAACAAATGTATCTAAATTCTTTTTTGTTCTCTTCTATTTGTTTTATATATATATATATATATATTGATATTTGAAGAGATTGAAATTTAAGTTTTAATCATTAAAATTAAAAATTCAATACTTTATTAATAAATTGTATGATTGTTGGTTATTTATTATAATCCTTTCATTTTTATCACAAATACCACCAATTGTTGATACAAAAGTTGTAATTTAAATATTTATTTAGATTCGTATAAAAAAAATTTAAAGCGATTCTGAATAAATGTTAAAATTTTTTTTTATTAAGATAAAATTTTAAATTTCCTTCTTAGACTTGAATCCTGATATGGATAGAATAAAAAATGGATTACTTTTTAATATTCTTAAAACAATTATTTTTATATATTAGGAAACAGAGGATTCCATCTTTCTCTTTGAGTAAAAAAATATGCATCAATTATCAAATTAATGTCGGCTTCTACTTCTATTTAAAAAATGTTGAGATCTAATGCTCGAATTTTTCATTCTTCTTTTGTACTTCTTCGATCGTACAAAGTAATAAAAAAAGAAATTATTAAATATATTGATAATAATTTTTTTTTAATTTTATAAAGGGAGTTAATAGAATAGCACATACTATTTAGTGTATATTTTAAAAAATAAAAAATAATTTTAAAAAAGAAATGAGACATATGTCATCCTATTAATCTTATTTATAAAGTTAAAAAATTTCACTAATAATATATCAAATAATTTTTAGTAAAAAAAGTATGTGTATAAAATTTAGTAAGGAGCAAATTATGTAGGCAGTTAGGTATACATGCTAATGATGCTGCATCGTCTCATACTTTCCCCAAATCTCAAGTCTCCGAATACGAAGATCCAAATCCAATTGATGGCCGAAAATGGTATAACATTTCACACCATTTTTCATTACCATATTTCTCGTGGATTTTTTTTTTTTCCTAATGAGAAACTATTGTTGAAAACCAAAAACAGTGAGCCCCATTTTTGCAAACTTTATCTAAAGGTTACCTAACTTTTGCTTTGCCACTAAATTTGATAATGTATTCGTGTTGTGTAAAATATTGATAATGTGCATATTAATTCATATAATATTTTATACGAAAATTACGTATCACAATCAATATTTATATTTGTATTATATTTTATATAAAAATTATGTGTCACAATCAGTATCAACATAAAAATACAAAATATGTTTTTTATTAAACATATATAATTTTTATTAAAATTTTAAATCGAGTCATTTTTATATTATTTTTAAATTATTTTTAAATTATTTTTGTATCGTATTTTAAATTATCAAATTTACTTACTAAAACCTCATGATGCCTGATCAGAGTGTCAAGATAAAAAAAAAAATTTTTTTTTGCAAAGGCGAAAAAAAGAAAGTTGTTGGCTTCAAATTTTTAAACCTCGAGCTTGAGATTCTCTTGGTTTCGCTTTATTTTTTATCTGTTGCCAACTATATGAAACTTGTGCAGCTTAAACAGGAAAGGAAAAGGAAAATCCATCATGAAAATGAAAAATTGAAAATTATTGTGATTGGACTTGACATATTTGGAGGGATGCACTTATTTCACTAGAATTTTGTGAACAGACAGAATCTGTCTTCAAACAATGATATTTTATTTTCTATAATGAGAAATGCAGCTTTTTTTTTTCACCCATTTTTTTACATGAATAAACAAGATAGAGGAATCTCATACAATACTACTAATGTATTTATGTTTGGTAGGAAGGGGAAAGAAATTGAAGGGAAAAGGAAACCAAGGAAAATGCTTTTTTTTTTTTTCTTTTTTAAATAATGTGATCAGGCATATCTTCAAGTTTTACCTAAATTTATTATTTTTTTTCAACTATATTAAAGATGCGACTTCCAAATCAATATGATGCATTCAAAATTTTATTTTTGAATTAATACTCCTCACAAATATCGAATTTTGATTTACAAGAAATGGAATTAACACATTTACGAAGGTTTAGATAATCACATGAACATTGATCCCGTTTGGCATTGGGATGAAAATGTTGTTTGAAATAAAAATGGTTTTTTCACCTTTACCACAATGCCCAAACAACTTTGAGGTGGGATTTTTTTTTTTTTTTGACTTGTGATGGGGTTGAAAGTTGATTTTAAACCAACATTTCAAGCAGCACTTAACTTGCTTTAGTAAAATTAGGCCTAAAATCAAGCCAATTTACTTCTTTTATTCTTTGTCGCATTGTCAAGAGTATTAATAAAATTTACCTTTTGGGATTTTTTTTTTTTTTGTGCACCAAGTATTAGGGAAAGAAGGGTTTACCCAATTGGTTTTTTTTTTTCTTTGTTCTTTTGGAAAAGCTGAAGAAAAATGTATTATTAGAGGGAAAAGTTTGTGTACAAAAACAACTAACAGCAAAGCCAGTATAGAAGGAGATCAGCTGACAGAGAAGAGGGGGAAAAAATAACCAAACAAGAAGATCAAGACACCAAAAGGCATGCCAAGATGTCAATTGTTACCCACATAATACGTTAATGAAGGTAAGACCAAGTCATCACTATGAAAAAAGCTTGGCAATAATTAGTTGGATTGGGATTCTTTGGCAAATGCTGAAATTTTACCTAATGTTTTTCTTTATCAAGGACAATAATTTCGAAAAAGAGAGATTCAAATCATGTATGTAGAAAAGTTGATTTTTTTGCTGATTTATTAGTCAAGATGGGGCAAATAGAGTAGGGATTTTGTATGCAATATTGTAGGATGTTTACTTTTCTGATCATGTTAATGTTAAATTTTAAGATAGATATTTAATCTAAAATAAGATGAATATTAACAATGTTTACGCTTATATCATAGTAAATTTTAAGATGCGCATCCAACCTAAACTCAATTAAAAAAAAATGGAGTAATCTTTGTTACATTTATGTGTCAACGTTACTTCCAATTTAACAAATTTATGATTTATTTTATCTCTAATTAAATAGTCAATATAGGTGTAATTTGTTTTGGAGGCATTCTGTTCCTATTATGACAAGATCTAAACCTTTGCGGTCGATCTTTTTATACGAATAAAAATGTTCATTTGATTGAGTAAAAATAAACTCAAATTAAATCATGTATACAGGAATTAAACTTGTCCACAAGCTAGATTATCTATTCAACCCATGAGTCTAGCTTAGCTTTGATAAAGATTTTTGAATTTAAATTTGACTTGATTCGAGATATTAAATTAATATTTTAATATATATTTTTAAAAATTTTGAATCCTTTGAATTCGGTCTAATCCATCAACACCTCTAACGGGATATAAGCGTTGACATTATAATAGTGCTAATATGATGGTTATACATTTTGTCTCTATTTACTTAAAAATTACATGTTTTTTAGGACTCTTAATGGCGTTTAATCTTATCCATTTTGGTGACCCCTTGGTTAGCATGGCTTGGACAAGAATTGTTTGAAATTTAACTTTTCTTTTGCATTGTACCAAAAAGGTGCTATATTTGAAACTTTTTTTTTTCTTTTCTTAAGAAAAGTTTAATGCCTTCTGGGTACAAACTATTTGATAGTAGTTGTAGTTTAGTAGTATATTCTACTTATAAATTGCAAGGGAGCTTTAAATCAAGTTTCAAGAGTACTAATTATAAAGGAATATGATGCATGTGCAAAAAAAAATTGATGCAGTGACATGATGTCGCACGGAAACACTCGAATTCAGTTAATTTATATAATAATTTTTAAAAAATAATATCTAATTAATTTAAAAATTAAATCTTATCACTGATACTTTTTTTTTCTAAGTATGACTTTATAGAAGAAATGGTAATTTGAAGAAAATGCTTTAGAAGAAAGCTTGTCGGTGGAAGGTGTGCCTCAGTACAATAATGGAAGTATGATTGATGTTACAGAATAACATATTAGGACCACTTAATCGCTCATTTTATGCATATGCATATACATCCAATAAAGAGGCCAACATAGGCATATCGACAGCCACTCAAATTTGGTCACACTACCCATAAAAATGTTGGGATTTTCATTGTCAAATGTTTTAAGATCATCCAAGACATCCCTAGAACTATTCATGAGCCAAGTTGCCTGATTGAACCCGTCTCAACTTTAAACTTTTGTTAATTAATTTCTTATATCTAAACTGAATTAGTTTATTGATTTTATATTTATCCCTACTTGATAATATATGAAGGAGAGATGCACTTATAATAATGTAATTTTTTTTTTTGGATCCTTATAGTAAAATTATTAAATTTAAAATTATTATTTTGATTCAAATGAGTTATAGATTTGATTTTGATGCAAAGATTTAAAAGTGTAACAGTTTCACTATAATATATATTTTGGCTATAAATAAAAATAAGAGGTAGAAATAAAATAATATTGATGTAAAAAGGAGACAAGTTATTATTTATTTATTTATCTTTTACAAAGTATTGGTTTTGCAAGTTTATATTATATTTTTTTTTTGGGCAAACCAATTTTAGATTGTCTTAATGTTTTTTTGAAACCAAAAATCTTATATAAGGTATGGTTTTATTTTATTTTATTTACATATGAAAACCCATTTGATTGATCTACACAAAGGAAGGCAATTCTCCATCATCCCATAAATCCCATTCCTCTTCCCATATTTGAACTTAAAATTTTTAAATGAAAGTCTTACCTTAAACTCTAACCCTTAGAATACCAAATTGAGAAAATTTATTTATTTTTATATAGATGGACAAAACTTAAGGAAAAAATTACAGAAAAAACCCATAAATGCTAAAAATCGAATATCAACTGGGGATGTCAATTTTATCTATATTCAATGAAACACTTTTTTTTTATCCGAACATGAATGTAGATAGGCATTAAGTTGTGAGTATGGGGATGGAATTGAAAATGATTTAAAATTTTTATTGGATGTGAGAATAGAGATGGGTAATATAGCACGCACATTGTGCCTGTATCTTATACATATTTATATATTTAGTAAATAAATTTTTTATTAAATAATGTAAATATTAGTATTTTAGATTAATTAAAATTAATATATTTTTATTGAAAAAATATATATTAATATATATTTATAAAAAAAACTTAAATATATAAGATAAAAATTAAAAAACTAAAACCAAAAACATAAATTTTAGTTTTTTAGTTTTTTTTTTAAGTTATGAGTCATACCCATTAAATACCTATGAAGATAAGAATGGAGATAAATTTAAAACATTCATTGAATATAGATACAAAAATATGTATAATATAAAAATTTAAAAACAAAAAATATTCTATCTTATCTATACCTTACTTATTGATATTCCTAATCTCAATCTTTTAAAGAAGACGTGCGGACCATTTAAACTAAGTCCTAAGTTTGCCAACTTGAGAAAACTCAAACAATGACATTACTACTTACAAATAAAATTATCACGTGGTAAACTCTAAAAATTAATAAGATTATCATGTAATAAATTAACAAAATAAAAAATTAAAAAATTAAAATTAAAATTTAAAATCAATTGACGAAAAAGAAGCCCCAATTTAAATATATATATAACACTGAAAAATCAAAACTTAACGATCTTCTGTATGTCAAATTCCAAATAGAAAAAAAGGCAATAATTTAACGATCTTCGAAACAACTCTAAAATTTATGGCTTTTAATTAAAAGAGAAAAGATCTCCGCCGTCAGCGGTAACTGTGAAACAGAGGGGTTCCCGTACAGGTTTTGACGGTAGCATCTATAGCCTATAAGTAAGAAGAAAGCTGTCTAAAGAGAAGAACTACGAAAAACAAAAATTGTGGTTCCAACACCAGACAGTAACGAGTGGACAGTTATGCTAACCAATGGGAAGTCGACAGCACATTCTTAAAAAACCACTCTGGTTTACCCCGAATCCACCCACTTTCCCTAAAACCACTTTACTTTCAGGTTTTTTGTTTTTTTTTTTCCCGGATTTCCAATTGTGTATATGTGTGCATGCTTTCTCAGACACACTTCACGATTAGAAAACGAGAGGAAGAGAAAATAGAAAAGAAAAAAGAAATTCCTACTTGGGTGTTTACTTAATCTTCCTTCTTCCTTTTTTAGTTTCAGAATTTGGGTTTTGCTTATTTTGGTGTTCTCTGGGGATTTCCATTTTTTGAAAGAAAGAAGAGAAAGGGAAGTAAAGATAGAGAGAGATGGGGAGAGGTAGGGTTCAGTTGAAGAGGATAGAGAACAAGATCAACAGGCAAGTTACTTTCTCCAAAAGGAGAGGTGGGTTGTTGAAGAAAGCTCATGAGATCTCTGTCTTGTGCGATGCTGAGGTCGCTTTGATTGTCTTCTCCCACAAAGGGAAGGTCTTTGAATACTCCACTGATTCCAGGTAGCTCTTCTCTTTTTACTTTCATCCAAACTAAGCATTTCTGTTTTTCATATGCTGGTTCCCCCACCCCTTTTTCTTTGGCCTGATTCTGCTCTGCTTGTGTTTCTTTTTTAATGTTTTTTACCCTTCAATTTGGTGAACAATCTCACTTCTTCTCCACAAACTTCAGAGATCGATGTTTCTATTTACAGGTTTTCCCTGTAAGAAAAGAAAAACAATCTTCTTGTCATCTACTTTCTTTTAGTACTTTTCAAGATATTCAGAAACTAAAAAATAAACAATAAGTTGAGATTAAACTACGAACTTACTGAGTTTTCTTCTTTTTTTCTTGTTTGAGAGTCAATAGACTGAAAAAGATATTGTATTAAATATGGTTTTTTTAGCCACTGTCTTGAGCTGTCCCTGGATTTCATGCAAAGTTAACAGGTGAAATTAAGGTATGTAACAGTTTAGCCAAAAGAAGGACTTTATAAAGTGACAATAACTATATCAGTATTAGAATTGTTTCAGGGACCCTGAAGTAGCAAAAGAATGGAAACCTTTGGGGAGTTTGGTCACATCTGGCTAAAGAGGCTATTGACCAACGGAAGAAGAAGAAATTTGCTTCTCTTCTTTCTTTTTTTGAGTATTTTGTTCTAGTCCGATGGTCTAACTTTCTCAATTAGGAGAAAACACGAAACATCTATTATGCACTAAATTGTTATACCAAGAAATAGAAAATAAAAAAATTTGCCATCTAAAAGGAAAAATCATTCCTAAGAAACATATTTTCTTCTAAAGATAGAAAAAGACGTAAAGTTTATAGTTTTGGTGAAAATATATTTGTTTTTTGTAATTTACTTTCTCTTGGAAAAAGGGTTAATTTTGTTCTAAAATTATAAATCAATTGAAGTACTTATTTAGTATTGCATTTGCACCCTCTTTGTCATCTTCCCTCCTTTGGGTACTTTTTTTTTTTCTTTTTGTTGTGTGTTTTTGGGTTTATTATATCTCCTACAAGCTACAATTTCTCCATCTCTTCTCCTTCACAAGCTCTTAAAGCCTAGATCCTCTCTAGCTTTTGACAACTCTGATCCAAGGACTCCAAATTCCAAACTAACTAACGAGTCGAAAAGAGGGTATCTTTTTAGTAGTTTGAAAAAGAAGGATCCTACAGTTCTTTTGGGTGGACAAAGATGGGGATTTTTAGTTTTTTACTCTTGTAGTTAGAAGATTCCTTAATGGAGGAAAATAGCAGCTACTGACTATACAATTGTTGCTTGATATCTGCCTAAACTAGCTATATTTCAATGATCTGTTTTTTTTTTTTCAGCAGATTCGGTTACGTGTAAGTCATTACTTAAAAGGATGCAGTGAACCCCCCCCCCCCAAAAAAAAAAAAAAGAAAAAGATAAAAAACTATTTATAAACCTTGAATAATCAGGCAATTTCCCATTGAATATACAATATTTTAAGCTAATTATCAGAAAAAAAAAAAACTACAATTATTTGTTCAAGTTCTTTTTTTGGTTTTGTTTATACAAAGAAGCCTAAAACCTGAAAAGAATTATAGAAGTTGAATCTGTAAGTGTTGGAGATCGAAACTCAACTTTACTACTTCTAAAGAAAATAATTACAAGAAAAAAAAAAACCTCCAATTATTTGTTCAAGTTCTTTTTACAGTTTTTTTTTTTTTTTTTAACTTTTGTGTTGTTCTTTAAACATTTGGCCTTTGTTGTTTTAGAAAATTTTAATCATAAAGAAGGTTGCTTAATTCTTATTATTAACTTTTTTTTTTTTTTTTTTGGGGGGGGGGGGGGGCCTGTTTAAGTTCTGTTTGTTCTTGAGAAAAGAAATCTTTCTATCCAAAATTTACTTAAATATTAAAAAATTTAGCTCATTCATCCTTCAATCTTAATATTTTACAATTAAATTAATAATACATAAAAGAACAAATTTCACATACATGATGATCATGGATATTAAACATTTATAAAAAGTCTTATATCAAACTCCCCAGCTTAAAGATGATAGATACCTAAACCATTGAACAAATTTCAGCAGCTTTTATATATTGTAACTTCCTTTGATACAATACATATCTCCAAGGAAGAAGTGAAGTGGTGATTAACCAGTAATTATGAATAAAGTCAAGTTAGTGGATTTATAATCCAATTCCTGAACCACCATAACCCTCAGGGATTGGCTTGGAAAATGGTTTTCATTTCCAGCCACAATAATATGCTCTCTTCTGTGGACATTACAGTTGATGAGAATGTCAAAATATTAGGCTTAATTTGATGTATAGTTACTAACAATTAGGAAATGGAACTTAGTTATTATATGCTATTATTTATGTACTACCCACCCTATTTTTGACTCTTGGATATGGAGTTTATTAAGTTTTTTTTTTTTTTTTTTTTTTTCACAAATCAGTAGCTAATTATTGATTGTTTACTGTTGCTAATGTTGATTCTGTCTTTTTTTTTTTTTTTGTTAACTCTAACTTGAGGCTAACTAAGACATGTTGGTTTGGCTTAGCATTTTTGAAATAACTAAAATACTTCCAGGTTATTGAATTGAAACAAGAAAGGTAAATTTTTTTTTTTCCGATAAATCTAGTACTTACCTTATACTTAACTGCAGGGAGAAAGCATTACGTCTTGAACACTAACAACCTTAAGTCTCTCATGCCATGTGAGCTAAGCTCAATTGGCAAACTTGACAATTTCTTAAATACTATGAAATATTTTTAAAAAATGAAATACATTCTTGGTAGTTTGTCTTCTTTTCTTTTTTTTTTTTGTGTTACGATTTAATTCATATAAAATAAATACGAACACTCCAAACAATTTTAAAATACTTAGCGGAGCTTAAATCTTAGTGATCTTCTCTTGTATCAACCAAAAAATAAAAAAACTAAAGTGAGAATTTATCTGCTCGATTTTGTATTTTGATTCTTTAATAAGTTTAGAAAAAATGTCCATATATATATTGTTTTTAAATAAGGGTTATAATAAAGCTACAACAAGTTTTCCTAGGGAATTACTACTGAAGAAAATATTGTCCTTGATACTGACTTTTCCTTTCTGCAACAGCATGGACAAGATACTTGAACGATATGAAAGGTATTCTTATGCTGAAACACGGCTTGTTGCAACTGAGTCTGAATATCAGGTAACCCAGCTTTCACGTACGCCGTTAGCTCGCCAGAGTTCTCATTATGATTATATGTACTGTTTGCCATACCATTTTGACAGCATAAAAGGATTGGGGTACCTAACTAAGTACATTTTATAGCTTTTAGGGCTAGCTGACTTTGACTTGTAAAGTTAGTAACTGTTGAGATACTCTTTGCTTTTACTTTTTGGTACGGTAATAACTGAACATAATTAAGCTTTCAAATCAATCTTTTAGGAATAATACATTGTGAGAAAAGGCCAATTGACAATTCATTGAAACCGGCCTCTCAATATTCTGGTAACTACTCTGCAGGGAAACTGGTCCATGGAGTATAACAGACTTAAGGCTAAGGTTGAGCTCTTGCAGAAAAATCAGAGGTACTACCCAAGTGATAAATATATATATATGTATATATATAGGCCTTCCTGACATCTAGAATTTCTTTTAGCATATGTGTAATTAGTTTTTGTCACTTCTTAAACCTCTCCTGCAGGCACTACATGGGAGAAGATTTAGACTCATTGAGTCTCAAGGAGCTGCAGAATTTGGAGCAGCAGCTTGATACTGCTCTTAAACACATTAGGTCTAAAAAAGTAAGCTTTAACAGTTGTCGTCTTCCAATTATAGTAGTACAATTAAAACTGTTTCTTCTTGTTTTAGTGACGAAATTGTGGCTCTTGCAGAACCAGCTAATGTACGAGTCAATCTCTCAGCTTCAGAGAAAGGTAAGTCCTCATAACATTTGACTTGCTTGTCGATCCTGGGGAGATTCATTAGAAGAACTTCATGCAGGCTTTATATGAACTTGAATCATATATTATGAAGCTAGTCCTAAATCCCAATGATCTAGACACTTGTATAGATAACCATAGGATCATCAGCTTAGGCTTCACTGACTTAACTTTAGTCATTTGTCCTTGTTTTTGGCTTTATTTCTCTTTTTTCCGCTGTTGATTGTGACCTCGGGCGTGTAAAATTTTACTGACAATGAATCCCCTTTCAGTTTTCATGCATATGACATCTCTAATTGTGGTCTATATGACAGGAGAGGGCAATACAGGAGCAAAACACCATGCTAGCAAAGCAGGTGACTTACCCTATTCATGTTTATGATTTCATCAATTAACCTACTTCTAGTAATTTATTGAAGAAAGTCCCTTCCTACTGCTACACCAAATCATTTATAAGAGCTTTGATATGTAATGTAAACACGTACTAACAAATAGTCTATCTTTGCATGTAGATCAAGGAGAGGGAGAAGACAGTTGCGCAGCAGTCACAGTGGGCGCAGCAAAACCATGGCCTCAACACATCATCCTTTCTGCTGCCAGAGCCTCATCCCTGTCTGAATATTGGGTACCCCCTCCTCTCTCTCTTTTAAAGTTTTTTATATATCCTTCAGTAGAAATGACTATAATCAATATCATTAGCTTGAAAGAATATGCCTAGTATATAGTTTTAGCCTCATGAGACTTGAATAATCAGTTAATCATTAATTTGTATGGTATGGGGTACCACAATTGAAGTTCTTGTTCTTTCTGGGTTTAGTTCTTTCTGCTCATGCTTTGACAATAACTTATCGACCAAAGAAGATCAATCCATAAAGTTCATTTTCTGTTGTCTACACAGAGGCCATAACATGCTAATTTAATTTCTACTTTACATTGCAGTGGCACATACCAGGAAGAAGCAACAGAAGTAAGGAGGAACGAGCTCGACCTTACCCTTGAACCTATTTATTCGTGCCATCTCGGATGCTTTGCTGCATGAAAATTGGAACAAAAATAGCAATGCTTGTAGCAGCTAATTAATTATAAAGTTTTGGTCTGTGTAAAAATATGGACATAGATCGATGCACTATGGTGAAATAGGCATGAGAAGCAAGGATAAAATGTTTGAAAATCATGCTCTTATATCTGATTATTATATTTTGACTTATTATATAAATATATCTATGTGGATGATAAGTGTATATCTGAATCTCGGATTTCTATTTTCTCATTATCAATTATCAGTTGTTGCCCTTTGAAATTCCAATTTCATAACCAGACCTTTCATAATAATATCTTAGATGACCCAGTTTAGGAATCAAGAACAAAATGAACATAGATTAACTTTTAAAAATATATACAAAGATAAACTATATATGTAGAATATAATTAAAAGAGAGAGTAATTTTTATGGCTGGATACATGTATATATGTTTACAAGTAGGATAAGAAGATTTTTTATCATCTGCCATTTTCCTCTTTGTACCATTAAATGAAATGTTTCTCAAACTTGAGTCAGCATCAGAAGTTTGGAAGGGCATTGGGAGATCAAAATTCTGTGTCTATCATCCACAAAAAAAGATGATTTTGTTTATAGGACAATTCTAGAACTTTCGACCATTGGTAAAACTATTTTGTATAAATAAAGTGTTTTGTTTTACAAGGTTTAAGAGTTATGATAAAGTTATAAACAAAAACCAAAAGTGGAAAATATTGGTTACAACAACACAAAGCGCTTGTAAATACATATGTTACTCTCAAAAAATAAGTTATTTATCCATATGTAATTTAGGGGTAAATAAAATTTTTGTTCTCAATATTCCTATCGCTAAATTTATATATTTAGCGATCTATCAGAGATGAATAAATAAATATATTTAATTTTACAAGTAAAGACACATATAAATGTTTTGGAATATAGTCTATTATGATTATTTTTCATCTTTAATTATAACTTTTAGACACACATCCTTAGGTCTCTAATTTTAGAATTAGAGAAAATTAAATTTGTTCTTAAACTTAGATATTGAGGTAGAAAAAATTGCCAATAATTATAAATAACAACAATTCATGAAATTACTAGCTAAAATCATTTAAGAACTTATATAATTGCCTTTGAATATATATTTTTTATTTTCTAAAAAATTCATAAGATTTATGGTAATTAATAATTTTTATATAAATTTGATTCTAAAATTGTTTGAGTCATTTCCACTCTATCTAAAGATTTTGTCATACGACTTTCCTTTTCATTCATATGTTACTAATTGAAATTTTATATTTACACAAATAAACATAATAAAATAAAAGAATTTAACATATACTAAGTCGATAATCTAAAATTTCATTCTCAATCATTTCTGTTACCAGATTTATCCCAACTTTTCTTTTAAAACATCAAAAAATTCAAAAGCAAATCAAATCAAATCAAATCAAAATAAACCATTCACTTCATGATTTGATTATTGAATTTGCCTCAAAATCTTGATTGATTATTAACTTATGTTTAGATATATAAAAAATTACTTTCGCTGGCTAAAAATTAATACTAAAGCTTATTACAAGGAAATTTCCCCGTCAACAAAAAAAGCATAGGCTTCTTGCGACTGTACATGCAGAACCTGTATCTCTTACTCATCAATTATAAACTGGGAAAAACTTTTGAAATGTGGCTATAAAACTAATTCCAAATTTCATCTGTTCATCTTTGGTTTTTGTCTCTCATGTAATCCCGTGTCAAGTTGCTTCATCAAATATCATCATCTAGAAAATAAATCCATGATCAGTCAGATGCCCCAAGAAAATCCCAATACAATAAATATATATAAATAAAATATCTAAAAATCAAACTAAGCTTGCAAAGTTCCTGGCAAAACCCAGAAAAAATATGGCACTTGAAGCACGGAATCCCCATCGTAACATAAATTGGTCACGTATCAGATGAAGAACTAATAGCTCACGTTTAGCAATAGTATCCGATTCTCGATGTTTGAAGAATGACATGTTAAATAGTATATTGATGGTTTTGTGATAATTTGACAGTTTGATCTTATAGCTAATGGTTGTCACTTGTCAGAACTCAAAATAACTTTTAAATCTTAAGGAGAAAGGAATAAGTGCAGAAGAATATAAGAATTGAATTACCTTGCCACAGATTGGACAGTTTTCTGATCTCTCCATCCACTCATATATGCAACTAAGGTGGTAACTATGGGAACATTGAAGAACAATCCTTGGGTTTTCAGGGATGTACTCTGCAACAGAAAAACAATTGGAGAAATCAAGAGTGGGTAGTGAATCAAAGTAAGCCAATGTACTTTAAAGCCCCATTTACTTGATCTATAAGCTGGATGGGGAAAAACAAATACATTCTTAAAGCTAGTCAATGGTATGTTATTGATTCAAAATGTATAACCTTCAAGACAAGTGGGACAAACATCCTCATCTTCTGATAATCCACAGGCACGAGCAACTTCAGTTTCAGGTTTCTCGGATGAGAACTTCGTTTTGGACTCCAAACAGCGTGCTTCGCATTGAAGTCCAGTTGATTTGATCCCATTACAATCATGTTCCATGTCAACTTGATCATTCTCCTGTTCTTTAATCTGTCCATCCTGGTGCTGATCGGAGAGTGTGACATCAGCATCAAAATGCAAAATTCTTGGAGCAGATGTGACAATGTTGGATTGTATGTCGTTAGATACAGCATAAGAGTTCAAAGGGGCAGCCACTTGAGCAGCTGAAGCGGGGGCATCCAATTGCTCATTGCTCTTTATTCCTGTATACTGCTGAACAAATTTATAAGCCCAGGAAGCTAAAGATGCGTTATAAAAAATTGCTGCTAGAAAACAATAGTGCATAACAGTATCCAAGATTAAATTTTAATGCTGATTCCTTTCGAGGACAGCAGGGGTAGTATAAAATTGTGTTTTTTATGATCAAGTAGACATCTTCTTCAGGATAGAGAAGAGCAGATGAAAATTTGACATTAATCTACCTTGCCGAATAGGGTATGAATGATGCAATCGGGACAAAAACAGTTCTGACGAGTGGAAACATCTTCAGGATCCATCGTGTGGAAACAACAACAAAGAGTTACCATGATCAAGCTTTAATTTCTGCTTCAATTTTCAGACCTGAAAAAAGAAAATCACAATTACGATTTCATTAAAAAAACGGGGAATTCAATCACTAGCAATTCTTTAATGAGGGACATGGCATAATTAACATGAAAGTTGATAAAAATATCCAAGGTTGTCCTGGTGTAGCTATAGTACATAAAGTCTTCGAACAGACATAGATTGAAAAAAGATCATCAATCAATCAATCAACTACGATCATAAAAATCAACTTCATCAATAAAATTAAAGGGAACTTAACCATCGAGAATGAACAAACCCCACATCGTCATTAATCATATATACCACTAATTCAATAATCATGATATTCAAAAAAAAAAAAAATAATAAGGGAAAACCCAATAAAAAAAAATATCGTTACCTTGAAGAAGGCAGTGATTAACTGGAAATTACTGTTCTCGTAAAGCTAGAGAAGACAAAGAATGACTTGATTGAAAAACAACAACTTGGTACATTTAAAGAAGAAAGCAACAAAGATTAAATTTAATAGAAAGAAATATTTGGAATAAAGAGACAAGAATTTAAGATATGTACAGACATAAAGAAGAAGATTTTGCAGTTCAAGTTGGCCTAGGAGGAAAACAAAAGAATCTAAAGTTGAGAGCTTTTGGTGTTATTCATTAACAAAGGTTTTAAAGTTGAAACCTAAGCGGCGAAGGATTCTTCGTCGATAGAAGTACAGAAAGACAACGATTTTATGGGACCACCGAAGCTTCTTTTTGTGCTGCCCGCTGTGATGACGTGGAAACTGGAACCTACCTTTGTAAGTAATTATTTGGTTAAATAAAAAATGAAATCCCTATTATTTCTTAAATTTTCAAATAAGTCTTTTATCTTTTTACTGTGTCAAATTAAACTTTAAAAATATCATTTTCGTTTAATTAAATTATTATTTTGCATGAAAATTACTAAAGTTTGATAAAAAAAATAAGAATTTAATTAAATAAAAAATAATAGTAAAATTTTAATTAAACAAAAATAATACTTAAGAATTTTATTAAACAAAAAATGTAGTTAAAAAGTTTAATGGTACACAATAAAATAATAAATTTTATATAAAAATTTTTAAAAAATAAAATTTTTTAATATTTCAACAAGATAATTAGTTACAAATTGCTCCAACTTTGATTAAAGACTTAAGATTACTTGTAATTTTACTTAGAAATTTTAAAAATAAAATATTATAATATAAAATTATTATTATCCCATAACTCTTACTTAGAATTAACAAAAACATCCATATGCAAATATAGATGCATCCAATGAATTTGTTCAATTATAAATAAGAAAATCAATCTTAAATTTAATTTAACCTTGAAATTTTATCATATCTCTCAAAATCAAATTGGACACTGACCAATTCAAAGTTTCGAGTCAAATAGATCATTCATCAAGACAAATAATTATTAGATATTGATATATTATACATTTATTTAAATTAAAATAAGTGTAAGAATTAACATAATAAACATTTGGCCTTACAGACGTTTTTGAAAATGTATTCAAGAATTTTATTCATAATTAATGTATGCTTTGCATACCCCAACTGCTTAAAAGAATTCAATTTAAATCTCTTCTTTTTTCAAGTGAAAAAAAAAAACATGCGTGAAACTTAAAAGAGTATGGAGTTATGGGGCCAAAGGCCCAACTAATAACAGGCTAAGGTTCTCTAGCAAGTAGCAACATGAGAAGGATAAATGGATAAATATAGAGAAGTGCAAATCAAACTAAAATATAGAGAGATAATGAAGGGCTCAAACCCACCATCTAGTTGTCATTACTCATAAACTTGTTTTTTTTAGATAATATGCATTTTCATGGCAACGATATATGAAGAATTTTTTCAAATAAAGTTATAAAACAAATAAATAACATATCGACTTTTACAACTCAATGGTGAAGTAAAGCAAATGAGAAATCATAATTTGCACCCAAAAACTTTCATGGGTGTTCAATGAATTTTCCAATTTCTTGGTAAGCATGCAGTGGGAATGAAGATTGTTTATATAGTGTTATCTATTACTCTGTATTTTGATCTTTATAGACCAGAATTGGGATTCCGAGTAAAACGTCAAAGCCCAAAAGAAAATTTTGATTAGAGATATTAGCTTGGAGAATGCAACTAATTAATCGATTGGCGACATTGGTGAGAGACATGGAAGATTAAAGTGGTAAATTCCATCATGCAAATGGCAATTAAAGTTGGTAATTTGGAAAGGACCTCTCACCTATTTGACCTTACTTTTGCAAGTAATGTAGCAAGTTTTTTGTGCTTTGAAAAAGTCAGTTGGTGTCTTAGAGCTGTTCTTGATTTGTTTGATTATTCTAAATCATCAGAAATTTTGTTGCCAATTTACATTATAAAGTTGACCCTTTTTTTCTCCTTTTCTGCTTTTGCTAATCATTTTGTTTCCAAAAAATCTGAAACAGTAGTATTTTTTATGTGTTAATCATATGTTATTCTAAAAATAATGAGCTGGTTGCGTTCAATCCACGCCATAGATAAACCACCAAAAAGAAGAAGAAAAATGAAATTCTTTACAGATCAGTTCTGGTATGATTATACCCGAAACTTCATATCTTAATCTTGAAATGATCATGGCAGAAAATGATGACAGTACTAAACTTGGAATGAAAATTCTTTCACCCATAATTACCATTGTATCTTACCTAATGAAGAACTTATACATCAGCCACAATATCACTATAAGGCTGATGATGATTATGGGAATTATGTTTTAAAATTTTCTGTATTGCGCTTGTCATGAATTGTTCTTGTTTTGTTATATAATTAGCTTATTTGTCTTTTTAAGATAAGTGTATAATTATGAGATATGAATCTGCATTATTAATGTAGACCCTGAAACAGTGATGCTAAGAAGAAAACTATCAATCAATCTATATTGAGTGGACATGATGTTAAGCCATGGGCTGCCATTTCTTTGTCACAACCTCAGAACACACTCTTTCAGACAGACTTATTATAGGAGGAATTCAACAGAGGTTGAATCTTTGTTTGCTGGAGAATGGGGATGATGCAAATTATCTGCCTGAAGCATCAGTCGCTCCAAAACAAAAATTGTGATCAATATTCAATTCCAGAACCAAAATAGGCCTATACTCAGTCACTTCAACTGTCAAGAAACATGTCATAATATCTTTCCAAGAAGAGCAAGGATTTTTTCCCCCTTTAATTTCATTTTCTTTGATGCCATTTTACACATATAAAGATCATGGGCTATGCATCTGCTGCTCACTGATTAGGAACCCATACCCCTAGAGGGTGAAGAGTTGCAACCTGCAAGTGCAAGCAAGGTTCAATGGCTTTTATCACCTTTTAATTTGATTCTATCCTTGGCAAACGAGTTCAAAGACCATTTCATAATACGATATGACAGTGCCATGCATTCTTGCAATTAGCCATAGAACAGAGATTTGGATATTAATTGGAAAGGCAATGCAAATAAATAATTAAATAATATGATTACCACTAACATGGCTGAATGCCCGGGGGCCAAACGGCTGGTCTAGGAGGAATGGGCCTACAGCTTCATGATAGGCACGTTCTGGAATAGCCCCACAAAGGAAAATAAAATGGAACCAAAGACCTGCTATCATGATTAACAAACAAAAGAAAGCAAAAGAGGAAAAAAAAAAAAGGCAAAGCTAGCGGAAAAAACCCTTGGCCCAAACCAACATTTAGAAATTTGGTTCAGCAACAGGCAAGGCCTAATTGAGTAATTGTTCCTGTCTTCTCTTCTTCTCTACCTACTTATAATTATCTGGTGTTCACACTTAGTAGCCATCTCAGGAGATGGGCAGGACAGGAACAAGGTTGCCAGGTTTCTGTCTAAACAGGATTAGGCCTCATGTTAGAGTCCGGTCACCTCCAATACAAGCCAAGCCTGATGTGAATTCTACTAAAACTGATCAAAAGGATGAAATTTGTGGCAAAGTTGAAGAAGATAAATCCAGCAATGGAGAAAAACCTGGGTTGGTAATTGGAAGGAAAATCATGATCGTGGTTGATTCCAGCATTGAAGCCAAGGGAGCTATTCAATGGGCACTATCTCACACTGTCCAGTGCCAGGACACAGTTATTCTTCTTTACGTGACAAAGTCCTCAAAACAAGGTTGGAGCTCTTTATTTTCTTGTCATTTACCCTGGAAAAGTTTCGATTATTAGTTAGAACCACTGTATAAGGAGATAAACTGATTAATATGGTTGAAATACTTAATGCAGTGCCAGTTGCAAGTGATGAATCAGACAAGAACAGTGATCCAAGGACTTGTGAACCAGTTTCCTCCCTGAAAAATATGTGCAAGCAGAAGAGACCTGAGGTGGGTTGGAAATATCCTTTAATCTTCTTGTTTAACATCTCTTAAAATAATATTTCAACTTTTTGCCTGGTAATGCATTCTCAACCTCGTTTTTCAATTAGTTTTGTTCTCATTTTACAAATTAAAAGTAAACTATATTTTTGGTCCTTGATGATGTCAGAAATTGACGTTGATCATTGAGATTAAAAGTTCAATACTTTATTAATAGATCACGTGGCCCTAAAATTGGTTACTTAGCGGTTCATAAGACATATACTAATGCTAAGGGTTTGGCCTGGCAGGTAGAAGTTGAGGTAGCTGTGGTGCAGGGAACAGAGAAAGGTCCAACAATAGTGGAAGAGGCCAAAAAACAAGGAGTGTCACTTCTGGTTTTGGGACAGAAAAAAAAGTCCATGACTTGGCGTCTCATTATGATGTGGGCAGGGAACCGGGTTACTGGTGGAGTTGTCGAGTACTGCATCCAGAATGCTAGCTGCATGGCAGTTGCAGTAAGACGAAAAAGCAAAAAACTTGGAGGTTATCTTATCACCACTAAGCGGCACAAGGATTTCTGGCTCTTGGCTTAAAATTAAACAGCATTGTTATTTTTGTTGGCCTCCAACCCGTTTCAGCAAAGGGGATTCTAATCTTACTCCAGAATATATGTGATTTTTCTAGTGTTACTGTTTGTAAATAATACTAGTAAATTATATTGAGAAAAGGAAAAGGGAGTTTGGTGTGTGAATGAAAAAGTGTGTTGTGTCATTATTCATGTCCCTAAAGATTATGGCTAAGGGAAAGACAATTTGGGTCCCTTGCCCCCCTTTAGGGTCTCTCCCGGACGCTACAGTGGCCTAAAAGAAGCACGTGGTTCAACAACTTTTGTTTTTGTAACTTATACCATAGGGTAAAACAGGGCGGGTACTCTCGGATTGGATCTTCCTCAAATGACCAACGTTTGTTGCGGCCGAAACGCTGGATGGTGATCAGCTTTGCTGAAGTTGCAACACTTCTCAACTGTACCATGCATGGTTGTAATCACAACAATTTGGCCTTTGACATGGCTTCTGCTTGAACCTTGCAACTTTGTCAGTCGGTTTACAATAGAAATGCTTTCAATCTGATTAATTGGCAAAATTTTGTGTCATATGGGTTATCAAAAAATGTAGTGACTTGAACATTTGATGCTGAGGGGTATAACATAAATGCATTCCTAATCATACCCCAAAGTCCAAACAAGATAGAATTACATTGATTCGCCACAAAAACTGGTGGACAATCTTTTTATTGAACTAGTGAGTAGTGACCCATCATGCATGCTTAAACTGCACTTCAATATTGCAATATACTCACATAAATGCAACAGACTCCCAAGCATTTTTCCTTTATCTTTTCCTTGAGCAATGTACATTGAGTATGGTCCATCTATGGATGGAAAATACGGATGAGTCGACGTTTGTCAGAGCTTTTTGGGGCCTATGTTCCTCGAGCATAGGGCAAGCATATTATCTGAGCAAGATTCCCTCACCATTTGGGTCCCTGTCTACAACAAGAAAAAGCCCAGATAACCATACAAATCCGGATGAAGTTAAAAAAAAAAAAAACCAAAAACAAAAACAAAAAAGGAGTTCACGTTTTACACGCGTACAAAAAAGTTGCAAAATCATCATAATATTCATGGGTTTAGAGTGTTTAATGAGTTAACTTATCCACAAAATAAAAAAACTTATCCACAGAATAAAAAAGGGGGAATATTAATATAAATTAGTAGGCCATCATGGGCCGTGGACATGTGGTAGGGCAAAAATAAAGTTGAGCTTTACAAGATCTAAAATTATCTATGAAAATTTCTTTTCAGATGTGTTAAATAGATAGAGGCTGAGGTTAAAGATAGAGTAAAAATTTCAAAAGAAAAACCTGGTGGTAAATAAAATTGTTCCTTGTCTATGGATGAAGAACCTTGCCTATTGCATTGTCTTCTCCACATCATATGGGTCAAAGGCCCATATAATATCAAACCCAAAGCCCACCATAGTATGCCTCCTAACAAAACCCAAGCTATAAACTAGAACCCTCTCTTTCTCATTTGGTTCCCTTACTTTCCTGTTGTTCTTCTTAACCGCCCGACTAAGACGCAGGCAAGCAACCGATGGCTAAGCATTCAAGTGCCGAAGCCAAAGCCAAGAAGAAAACAAAGAAGAAAGCCAACAAAAAGGCAGGTCCAGATGCCATCTCCATGAAGCTCAAGGCTCAAAAATCCAACCCTTTCGAGACCATCTGGTCTCGCCGCAAGTTCGACATACTTGGCAAGAAACGCAAGGGAGAAGAACGCCGCGTTGGCCTTGCTCGTTCCCTAGCCATCCAAAAGGCAAGTTCTAACCCCTGAATTTTACCCTTCCCCCCCACTTTTATTTCTATATATTACTTGTACTAATGGGAGTTTTTGGGTTTGTTTCAGAGGAAGAAAACGCTATTGAAAGAGTACGAGCAAAGTACAAAGTCTTCTGTTTTTGTGGATAAGAGAATTGGGGAACAGAATGATGATCTGGGAGAGTTCGAAAAGGGTATTATGCGATCTCAACGTGAGCGTCAGGTTGTTTTTTTTTAGCCCCTTTTAACTGCTTGGTTTCTATTGTAGAAAAGAAACTTGGGATGTAGAAACTTTGGCATAGTTACTGAGTTTTATAAAAGTTTGTGTTTTTTGCTTCCTACTGAGCGAAATTCTGAAGCTTTTGGTTAAGAATAGCTTTTTTTTGGGGTTAAGTGTATATGGTTCTAATATTCCATTTTATTTTCTTTTTTGTCTCTTTTTGGTTCCATAGTTGAAATTGGGCAAAAAGGGCAAGTTCATTTTATCAGATGGAGAAGAAGATGAGTTCAATGCTCCAGATTTTGGTTCCTTTCCAGAGAGGGATGATTTTGAGGATGAAATGCTGTCTGATGATGATAATGATGGTGATAACAGTAAGATGTGACTTCTGCTTTCATTATGATATGAATTATAATTTTCTATTGATATTCCTAAATTCCTAATAACTTTTTTATTGGTTCAAACAATATGTTACTTCTCACCAGTAGCTTTTGCATATAAACAATGAATAAAACTGATATAAGATCCTGCTGTTTGTCTGAAAGAATTCAATCTACAGCAAGGACTTTGTATTATTCTTTATGTATGCTTACCTCTTACCATGTAGTTGAATCCCAATAAAACAGAGAAATATGATTTTGAGAACTTGGTTTCCGGCATTGATAAACTTCAAACTACCTTTTGTTAATGATGCATGCAATTGCAATAATTCAGTTTAGTATGGGTTGTCATTTACTTAGTTCTCCTTTTATTGTATTTTCTTTCTGATGTAATTTCTGTGTATTTCTGGTGGAAGTTCTATTATTGTTTTTGCACATTCATGAATTCTTTTCTTCTTTATATGAATAATTTCCTTCTAAGTTTCTCTTCAGATATTGATTTCCCTGTAGTGTGTTTTTCCTCTCTTTCATTGTTTCTCTGAACTTATGTTAAAGGCAATGATGATTTGTTCCTCCTTTATAGAACGGCCAGCCATCTTAAAGCAACTTAATTCTCATGGTGCACAGAATCCGTCAGAAGGGGGTTTGGTAGAAGGAGCGGAAAATGTAAGACCTATTCTCTTTCATTAAGAGACTTGTTTCTGTTTATGTTTGATGATCAGCTCAGCAACACTTTCATGACTAGCTTGTTTTTATTCTTTGCAGCCTGTAATCATTATTATGTTGGCATATTGATCATACAAAGGCAGATCAAATGCTAATTCATTTTCAGTCTAAAATCTTTAATTAACTGTTTGATCATGCATTAACCTTTAGTTATCTGTTGGCCAAAAAAAAACCTTTAGTTATCGATTCTGGCATCTAGCAGAATCATAATATTGATGTTTTGCTATTCCAAAATGATATTGTTTGGGTCCTTTAGTCTTCTTTATGGCTTATCTGTGACAATTAAATATGGTACAATTCCATGCAAGATTATTCAAGTGACATGGGAAGTGATTAGTATTGTCAACTTTTAGCTGCTAAATAATCACTTTTCCCATGTCTTTCAGTATGCACATTTTCTCATAATATTTGTAGTAATGTGATAGGAAAAACATGAGTTTGCTTGGGTAGTTTCCCCTTTCATAATCAGAATGTTGGAGTTTTCTGAGGTTGAGCTCTTAAAGGTGATCTATTTCAATTGTTATTCTCCACAATGATGAAGGAATAGGAGTTATAGTGGAAGTGACTGTACATGCATAAATGATTCTCTCTCTCTCTCTCTCTCTCTCTCGTGTGCGCGCATGCTCGCTCGCTGGCTCTGTGTGTGGCCCATTTGCACTTGCATACTCATGCATTTGTTATGGAGCATGTTTTTGTGAGGTAGCTTTAGATGACTTAAATTGATGGCTTTCATGCTACAGAAGCACAAAACCAAGAAGGAAATAATGGAGGAGGTTATTTTGAAGAGCAAGTATTTCAAGGTAAAAATTCATATGCATCATAAAGTTAACTGTATTATTTGCAGACTTGTTCTTGAGTCTTGACATCTGGTTTTTAATTTTTTAATTTTTATTATTTCTTACCAGGCACAAAAAGCAAGAGATAAAGAAGAAAATGAGCAGTTGATGGATGAATTAGATAAGAACTTCACATCTTTAGTGCAGTCCAAGGTCTTATTGTCTCTCACTGAACCAGGCAAGATGAATGCCTTGAAAGCTCTTGTGAACAAGGGTGTTCCAAATGAGCATGTGGAAAAGGAAGATCTACTAGTTGCTCAGAGAGCAGAAACTTATAAGCAGGTACAGAGTTATGGTTCTAGGTTGGGTCTTATTAAACTAGCTATGCACTATACCGGATGAGTGCTCTTGTTCATACAAAGTTCTTTCTTCTTTTATTTGCTATTGTTGTTTTCTGAAATTTTATTTTAGCATCCATATTTCTTCAATGAGTAAGAAGTATTATGACAAGGTGTATTTGTACCAGTTACTAGCATTAATTCATTGTTGGATTTAGTTTTGAAGAAAAGAAAGATTTATTACCATAGTTATGGCTGAAACTAAAGTTCTGTCTTACAAAATTTCAAATACAGGCATATCTGGATGTATAATCAAAATCAAGCATTAAAAAATTTTCTACTTTATTCGACAGGAACAACCCGATTTATATGATAAACTTGTCAATGAGATGGTATTGGATATGCGTGCTCGCCCGTCAGACAGGACAAAGACACCTGAGGAAATTGCCCAAGACGAGCGGGAGCGACTAGAGCAATTAGAGGTATGTATGGTCAATGGTCAATTACTTGTTTCTATTGTATATGCTGTTACAGCCTATAGAGGTTTTCAGTGAGATGGAAATTCACATAAAACAGGGCATTATCTTGTGCTTTATTGGTTGGAAATAAGATTGTTATTTAAAAATTTCTATGTATTTTTAATATTTTATTTGTTATGATAACATTATTATTATAATTTTGATGATAATACTAGCAGTATATGGTATTTATGTTGGACTTTGTGTTATTCCTGTATGCTTAATAATTTATCTGGGACTCAACAAATTTCAGGAAGAGCGTCAGAAGAGGATGTTAGCAAAGGATTACTCCAGTGATGAAGATGGTGAAAATGTTGAGAAAGATTCTGCCCAGAGGCCAAGGTCTATATCAGGAGATGATCTTGGTGATTCTTTTGCACTTGATGAGGACCTTGGGAGTAAAAAGGGCTGGGTTGATGAGATTCTTGAAAGAAAGGATGCAGATGATTCTGAGAATGAAGATGAGGATGCTTCTGAAAATTCAGAAAGTGCTGAAGATACTGGTGAAGATGAAGGATCTGAAGAAGAAGAAGAAGAAGAAGATGATGATGACGATGATGAATGTGAAAAGACTCTAACTCTGAAGGATTGGGAGCAGAGTGATGAAGACAATCTTGTTATGGATTTGGACGAGGATGAAGAGGAGCAAGATCATGATGATGTCATTGGTGATAAAGATGTGGAGCAAAGAGGCCGTAACAAGCCAAATAAAACTGAACCTAGGAAAGAAGATGTTGAGTCTGTGGATGCTAAAAGAATCAAATCAAGTGTCAAACATACTTCAACTAAACCAGACATTCCCTTTTTAATTGAAGCTCCAAGGAGCTTAGAGGAACTGTCTTCTTTATTGGAGAATTGTTCTAATGGTGACGTTATTGTGATCGTCAATCGAATTCGGGCAAGCAATGCAATTAAGCTTGCTGCAGAAAATCGGAAGAAAATGCAAGTAAGCTTGCTGCTTGTTGCCCTTTCCTTGCTTTCTGTGTATGTTTGTGTTTATGTGTGCATACTTGTGCATGTAACCATCTTGCAGATTCTCACCAAGTATCCAATTATCTTGTTAGACTTTGTACATTTTGAACGATTAGATTGACAAAAATGTTGAATTATGGTGTTGGAAACTTTGTTGTTATTGGCTTTTATTTCCTAAAATTTACGGTATGGCCCTTAATTTTGAGTGTTTCTGGGCATTTTGTTATGCTAATATTATGATTGCCACCATTCATTTAAAACTGATATATCTGCTATTTACCAGGTATTTTATGGTGTTGTCTTGCAATATTTTGCTGTCTTAGCGAATAAGAAACCCTTGAATTTTGACTTATTGAATTTGCTCGTCAAGCCACTGATGGAGATTAGTATGGAGATTCCATATTTCTCTGCAATATGTGCTCGTCAAAGAATCTTACGAACTCGCACACAATTTTGTGAGGCTCTCAAGAACCAAGGTTTGTGGTAGCTTGATTCTTTGAGCGAGTGGTACTTCCAACTTTACTATCTCTAGCTTAGTCTTTTGCAGATTTTTTATGTAATGATATGTTTTTATTTTTTGCAGAAAATGGATGTTGGCCTACCTTGAAAACATTGTTTCTCCTGAGGTTATGGTCCATGGTTTTTCCATGCTCTGACTTTCGTCATGTAGTCATGACTCCAGCAATATTATTAATGTGCGAGTATTTGATGCGTTGTCCCATAATGTCGGGTCGAGATGTTGCTATTGGTTCATTTTTATGTTCCATGGTTCTCATGGTACGTATAGGTTTTTCCTTTTCACTCTATCCCAACTTGTCTTCTAGGAGAATGGTTTCCTATGTTTTACCTGTTCATGGCATATTCTCTTTATGGTGTTTATTGATCGAAGAGTGCTCAGTTGCTTCTGAGATGCACTTTATGACACGCTAGATAGTGAGGACTTTTTATTCTCTTCTGCTCACCTTATGTTTCCTGAAGTCATGGAAACCTGTTACTTTAAAGCATGCTGCTGTAATAATTTTTCTGTTACAATTGAAAATTGCTAGTAGTTAATTTGAAATTTGTAATTTATGCATATGTATTTATTGGTGTCAGCCTTCCCTCATTTTCTTAAAATCCTCTACCTAGTAAAGCAAGATTTGAAACAGGTCTTTGCTTCAACCAAGGGATTTTACCCACTTAGTTGATTCACATGTTTATCAATGTACCATGTGTTAATAACAACTTGTAGTTTTGTGTCCCCTTTTTCTTCCTGACATATAGCTGCGGTTTTTTGAATGATCAATTTTGATACTTGTAGATTACCAAACAATCTCGAAAGTTTTGTCCAGAAGCTATAATGTTCCTCCGAACTTTGCTAATGGCAGCTACAGACCCAAAACTAGCATCAGAGCAAGATTCTCAGGTATTATGACTTCATGATTGTGGCTTAAGAAAAATAAAGGAAAGTAGAAGACTTCTATGTTGCCTTGTTGCATTTTCTATGATATTGGGATTAATTTGATGCTCAACTTGCATGATTCCCTCCGTCTAATTAGTTATTATGAAAGGAAAAAAAAAAGAGATTCTGACTTTGAGTTAGTCCATTGGTTGATTTGGGCACGATTTAAGAATCAATCTGACATTTTACTTATCTGATTTCCCTCATTATTAGATTTCTAAGCATGTAGCAAAATAATAATAACCACAATTAGATAGTTTTGTCATCCTATGGACCTTTCTTTCATAGCAAAATAATGTTTGATTGTGCAACTTATTAGACTAAAGTTCTATTTTATGGACCTTTCTTACATAGCAGTTTTGTCATCTTATGGAGCTGAAAGCACTCAGGCCCCTGTTACGCATACATGATTGTGTGGATGAGATTAATCCTCTGAATTTTATCATGGTAATGGACATCTCAGATGACTCCTCATTTTTCAGCTCTGATAATTTCAGGTCAGCAATTGATGCTTTTTTTTCATCGTTGTTTTTTATGGATGATGATGTGTTGAAGTGCTACAGTTTGATGTTTCCATTTCGTTAGTTCTGCTGGGTTAGGTTTCAATTTATATGGAATGCCTCTTTGTCATTTTTTTTTTTTTTTATACAATTGGATAAGAAATAAATTTTCATGTTCAGGGCTAGTTCTCTGGTAACTGTGATTGAAACTTTGCGAGGATTTGTTGAGATCTATGAGGAATTGAATTCCTTTCCTGAAATTTTCCTTCCAATCTCAACATTGTTACTTGAAGTTTCACAGCAGAAACACTTACCAGAGGCACTGAGAGATAAATTTAAGGAAGTTTCTCAACTCATTAAGAAGAAAGCTGATGAAACACATATGCTGCGGAGACCACTTCAGCTGCTGAAGCAGAAGCCAGTGCCTATCAAGTTGCTAAATCCCAAATTTGAAGAGAAGTAAATTTCATTTTCTTTTATTTTTTTATTTCAATTTTCAGGTTTTTTTTTCCCTTGTGCATCCCAGTGTCTTGACAATCATAGTATTCGGTGGTGCTATTTAGACTCTGAATAAGTACATGCATCTAACTATCATGTTGCCATGCAGTTTTGTTAAAGGTAGAGACTATGATCCTGACCGAGAACGAGCAGAGAGAAGAAAGTTGCAAAAACTGATAAAACGTGAAGCTAAAGGTGCAGCTCGTGAGCTGCGTAAGGACAATTATTTCTTGTATGAGGTAAAGCAAAGAGACAAGGAATTACAGGAAAAAGAAAGAGCAGACAACTATGGAAGGGCAATAGCTTTTCTCCAAGAACAGGAGCATGCCTTTAAATCTGGACAATTAGGTAAAGGCAGGAAAAGAAGGAGATGAAGCTAACTTAAATGCTAGTGTTAAATTTTCTCACCCAATTATAGAATATTGTGATTCTTGATAGTGTTTGGCGGATTCAATACACCGATAGGGTACTCATTTCCTTTGTATTCTTTCCCTTCGCCACAAGGCAATGACAAGCAGCCCAACGATTATTCTCCGAATGCAACCTTTGTGCTACTTAAAGATTGTTCAGTATGAAGACAAGCTGGTTATACTTATTGCATGTTGGCCTCTTCATAAGTATTTTAAGCTGCCATTGGACTACAAAGGTAAGACTTAAGATTAAGGTCGTTAATAGTTTGGAGAGGGTGAACATTATATTCAATATATATATATATATATATATATATATGGCCTTCTACATGAACACAGTATTCTTTGATAATATACTAAACATCAAAACCTTCATTAGAGCAGCAAGAGTTGGAAATAGATAAAACGGCCGTCGATACTAACATTATGTAAACAGCAAAACCAGTTTTAGAAGTAGCAAAGCATGAAAACAAACCTCTCAACGTCCGGTTGGAACGATGATCTCTGAAAACTCAGCACCTGGGGTTGGATCCGAATTACCTGTGGGCAAACATCGTTGACCATCTATCATTGGACGGAAATTACCGCCAATGCCCATGTTGTCCCTGCCTTGAAGGCTACTGGCTTCCAACAAGGAACTCTGCTGCTGCTGCTGCTGCTGCTGCCATGCCAGCTCCAAGTTGCACAATACCTCTCCCATACTCGGTCGGTCGCTTCCCTTGTCTGCTAAACACTTGATTGAGATAGCTATGAATGTCTGGAAGCATTCAGGGTTAATCTGTCCCAGTAGGGAAGAGTCAATGTTCTGATCCATGGTCCCCATTTGATAACAATTTACAGCCCACTCAGCCAAATTTACCTTGTAATGTTCTTCTTCATTTTCAGCCACTGGTAACACAGCAGGTCTAGCAAATAGTACCTCAAACAGTACCACTCCAAATGAGTACACATCAGATTTTTCAGTCAATTTTCGACGGCGATAATATTCTGGATCTAAATATCCGAAGCTGCCTTTGACCAATGTACTTACATGAGTTTCAGACTCTCTCATCATATTTGGTCCAATTTTTGACAGCCCAAAATCTGAGACCTTGGCTTCCCAATTTTCATCTAAAAGGATGTTACTAGTTTTCACGTCACGGTGAATGATAGTCTGCTTTCCTCCTGTATGAAGATAATGCAGTCCCCGAGCTGCACCAATACAAATCTTTAGCCTCTGCTTCCACGGAAGTGGTGTTTGCTTGGTCTTGTATAGGTGATCGGCTAAAGTACCTCCTGCCATAAAATTGTAGACAAGAATCATTTCATTATCCTCCATGCAACAACCGATCAAGGAGACTAGGTGGCAGTGCCGCAGCTTAGAAAGTGTAGTGATTTCAGTTTGGAATTCATTTACTCCTTGATGTGAATTGGGATTTGCACGCTTTATAGCAACTGTGGTGTTGCCATAAAAAATACAGCCCTTGTACACCTTTCCAAAACCCCCTGAACCAATTAATAAAGCATCTGAGAAGTTGTCGGTGGCTAACTTCATCTCTGCAAGAGAGAAGTGTAGGCAGTCCTCTGAAGGTTGTAAATATGTAACTCTTCTTCTTTTCCATTTTAAGTAAGAGTACCATTGCAATTGGAAACGTGAAAGTAGGATGCAAACGTAGCATACATAAGTTAATGAACCAACTCCGGCTACTAGTATATAAAAAATAATCTTCATGATCTTTGGATAAATCTCAGATGAGGTATAAGATACCTTTCTTGCCTTGAATGGATTAGGCCCCGCTAGAGAGTTGCTAGCATCAGATATTTTGAAGATTTCTAACCCATTCAATAATGGCACACTATAAATTGCACTAGCGTTATGTTGCATGGAAATCGACAGAAACATTTCCCCCTGGTATTTTCTTGAGAAATTCACAAGAAAATCCCTATAAATGGGAACTCCCAGCTTCTGAATTAGGCTGATTTCTGCGTGATGAACACCAGTTGGATAATTGGAATAAATATGAACAACTATTTGATTTTCATCCACAAAATACTTGCTCTTTTCCATAAATAAATGAAACCTAATGAGGTAACAGAACCCAGAATCTACAGGGAGCGACCAGTTTAGGTTATCATCAGGTAATAATTTCGTTCTAGCTGTGGTATAGACTTCCTTAGGGGCCGTATATGCTGGCACGTCAGAGCCGAAGTCAATTTCTGCTTTGTTGAAGTGAAAAATTTCTGTGTTAGGAAACAGATCACCTTGGTCCCCATACCAGGAACGAGACAAACCACTGTCATGATCAGCAGAGATCAGAGAACCACCCACATTCACCCGATACAAAGTCTCAAGAGCTGTGTAGTTCAGAGAGTAAAACTGGTTAGGATGTCCAACGAGTGGCAGTGACAGATCTCCTAGATAAAGCTTTGGAGGCACCGAAACAACCTCAATCATGTTGACGAAGCCATATGCGTCAGAATAATCTGACGATGGGGTGAACAATATATTCAATGTCTGGCCTGCTACAGGAACACAGTATTCCTTGATAATACCTTCATCATCAAACGCTACATTGGAGCAGGAAGAGTTGGAAATAGATAAAAGAGTGTAGCTGCCTACACTGACATTAAACAATGCTTTTGAAATGTTCAAGCTTGGATAAGAAATTGGATAAAAATGAAGTCTTACAAATTTGGGACCAGGGGAGACAGGAAATGTGACATTGGATTGTTTTCTAAATATGCAGGCAGAAGTTTTCAAAAGTTCAAGGTCGTTAGGAGTGGACGTTGATACCCGATTAAAAATTGGTCTATTGAATTTCGATTCGCTGTTGAGGCTCCATGCTTGGATATTAGGTGACATAGTTGTGGACGAAGCACAACTTAGGAACTCAGACAAGCCGGGGACTACGAGATAGCACAAGAGGAAAACGAGTAACATATTAGAAAAGAGAAATGGATTTCAGAGTCTAGTCTATCTACTCGGGGATGCCAATAGCAAGGAGATAAACAATAGCTTCGTATGTTTTGCGGAAAATGATTTTTAAAGTATAATTTTTACATTTTTAGGTATTTATTTGATGAAAAATTAATTGATTAATAAAAAATAATTTTTTGGTCAATGAAAAGTTATGTTATTTTTTTTGAAAATTATCTTACTAATTTGAAAAAGATAAGATATTTTTTTAAAAAATATTGTTTATGACTAAAATTATTTATTAATATTTTGGAACATAATTTTACGTATATTATTAATATAATATATTAATAAATAATATTATATTTTATTAATGTAATATATTAATAAATCATATATATTATTTACTATTAATAAATATTAAAAACTGTTTATTAGTATATAATTTATGGATATAATATTATTTATTAATAAATAATATATTATTAATACAATATAATATATTATTAATAATATTATAATATTATAATATTATATTAATAAATAATATAATAAATATTATTAATTTAATTAATAGATATTATAATAATATATTAATAAATAATATTATTAATAAATAATATACTATTAATATATATTATTAATAAATATTATTGATAAATAATATTTAATATATTAATAAATAATATAAAGAAGAAGAAATAGTTTTATTTTAAGTATTTTTATATTAACTAATATTTTAATATTAAATATTATTATTAAAATATAATTATTTTTTAATATTAATAATTTTAATAATAAATAATTTAAATGTATTTTAATAATAAATAAGTTGAATATTTTAATAATTATATTAATATTATTTGAAAAAAAACAAATTCTTCAAAAAAATCAAATAACCAAAAATATATTTTATTAAATTATTTAAATAATAAAAAATCTACTTCAATTTAAAAAATAAAAATATATTTTAAAAATTATTTTCTACAAAAAAATGGACCGTAGTTAAAATTCGACTTCAATACCGTGTGGATCCCACAATAAATGATGTGACTCGTGAAGACAAACATAGTTAAAATTCGACTTCAATACCGTGTGGATCCCACAACAAATACTGTGACTTGGGAAGATCTTCCTCAATTTTCCACAGTTCCCACGTACAATGGTGACTGGCGAGTGTTTTTAGGGCAAAGGCTTAAGGCACCGTCTGCTTCACGGAAAGCTGCGGTGGAAGCACTGGACCCCAATATTTTCTTGAATGTCATTTCATACCATGGCATGGTTCCAAACCGATTCTAAATCCATCAAGTTTGAATTTTCCTTTAACTTCTATAAAACGCAGAAATTTATTTATATCAGCATCATACTATATGATAGGATAATCAACTGTTGAATCTAAATAGAAATATTCTAATATAGACGTTATCCATTTTAAATTTTTATTTTTCTATTTTTCTTCACTTTATAGTAGTTGCTATTGGCCAATATAGGCCAGATCTTAGTATATAGTATGATGTTACAGTGTTTGAGGCTCCTTCCTTAAAATTAAACTCATAGTCAATCATTTTAGCCATTGATAACTGCTGTGTTATAGTAGTAATCTATTGGCCAAATAAAAACTTGAGACTTTGATGATCAGTTTTAATCTAGAAGCGTTTGCCGACTAAATAAGCATTCCACTTTTTAACAGATAGTGTTCATCGCAGACACTATAAATATGAGAATTCATTAATGCAAGAATCATTCCTGAAATTGACGAAACTCTTTTTCCTTCTTCTCGTTCTCTCTCCCTCTCTTTCAAGGTTTCTTCTCTGAATTTGGGTAATTTCCAATTTCATTGTTAACGTCACACATCATACTCAAGTAGTTGGAAGAAGGTAATATGAAACACAACATCAGTAGCAAACAATCAAAATCCATTTAGTAATATAGAACATGCAGTTAACACTCTCTCTCACAATTGAACTTTAATGCAAATCCATTTAGAAGAGTCAAAAAATAAATAGATATAAAATGCCATCCTCTCAACGCAAGTTGCGCAAATCACGAAAATAGCTTGAGGTGTCATCTTAAAAGTCGTCCCCGTAAATCCGATAATTCCTTCCTAGTTTTCTTGTTTCTTGAAGCTCCAGTACTTGACAAGAAATACCACAACCAAACCTGCAACTGCTACACCTGCCGCTGCCATCTCAGATTCACATGACTCAGTCCACAGAGAACAATCACCGCTTTCTGTTCTATAAGCATTCTTGCTCCTCCTGTTCTTGCTTTCATTGCAACCCATTTTGTTTCCAAGAGGTTTTCTTTCTTCCTTTCATTAAAAATAATTATACTTCTTTAAATAGAGCATTTTGGGAACTTGAGAGTCAAAGTTATTAATTCTCTGTCTCTTGGGATGGGTTGCCGTTAAATTAAAGCAATGGACTCTATAATCGTCTGTCAAGATTTCCTTTATTAGGCGCAGAAGCCTAACGGGCACGAAATAAGAAATATAGTCGAAGTTCAATGAAACAGAGCAAACACCCTTTGCCTTCACCACTAAAGGGCTGAACCTTTCAGATTCGAAATTGCTGAAAGCTGTTAATTACAATGTAAGAGAAAAATTAAACAGTAGGGCTCACTTTTTAATTGTTCCGTTCCATACAATCTTCTAAAAATTTATTGTCATGCATGCAGCAATGGCTGATGTTCAAGCTTCTAGAATTTGCAAATATCACCAGGGAAAAAAAATCAAGAGAACTTTTGATTGATCGATTTCACTTTCATTTACTCATTTTAATGTAACTATATCAATTTCAATACTATATTATAAAAGCACCGACATTAAAATTGGATAACATATTATACACCTTTTATGATCATTACTTTTCTCCACAGAACCTTTTATACTTTTTTCTTGACACTGTGATATCATGTAGTTTTAATCAGTTATGAAAAACTTAAATGTATAAAGATTTTATTGCAAGTTACTATGGCTGCAGAATATAAGTACTTTTTCCTCTCTTTTTATTTTGGCAATGCATATCAAGAAGCCTTATATGTTATGTGAATTGTCCCAGATTTCCAATCCTTTTTAGGTAAACTTCATGTAAACTTTTTTATGGTTGTTTCCCTGACAGAGGAATTGAAATTATAGTAGAAGAATGCTACATAAATGTTATTTCCTAGTAATATCTATGATACATGATACAGCAGGTTCCATCAACGCCCAGTTGAAACAATAATCTCAGAGAACTCCATCCTTGGAGTGGGATCCGAGTCACCAAACCATAAGCGATGACCACCATTAAAGATCAGAGGCAGTTCACCAGCCCCCTGACTCCAATGGAGCACATTGGCATGGTCCTTAACAGTGTAATTGTTGATAGAGACGCCGAAAACTCCTTCACTTACTTCAATCCACCCTGAAATGTCACAGAAATGAAGCCTAACGAGGTAGTAGTAACCAAAATCAACAGGGAAGTACCATTTTGCAAAGTTACCCTCAATGGTAACTATCCTAGCAGAAGCATAAACCTTTTCGGGGGCTGTATATGCTGGCACCGAGGAGCTGAAGTTAATTACAACTTCTGTTCTATGATCTTTGTGCTGCTTTTACCAACAATCAGATAGCCTGCATCTTCGATCCAGAGACGAAACGTGCCAGTATCTTCTTCTGCGGGGAATTGAATCTCCACCTTTGTTTATTCGGTGCATCATCTCCAGGGCTCTAGAGTTCCGAATGCAATACTGGTGAGAAGGATATCCAACAAGAGTAAGTGAAAATTCCTCTTTTTATGAAAAGATCTGAAGGCATTGGGACAACCTCAATTTTGTTCACAAAAGCATAGGAATCAGAGATTCTAATGATGGGGTGATGGATAACAACGTAAAAATAATGTATCGTAATAAATTTATTATAATAAACAATAATCAACTATAAAAAAATATAAGAAATATAAAGCACATCAAGATTTATGTGAAAAATTTTTTAATGTAAAAGAAAAAAATTATGGACCACTAGAAAAAATATTCACTGCCAAATAATGAATATAAAATTTTTTTCTTTAATTAAAACTAAAGCTAATCAATAATTAAAGAGATAATTAGAGAAATCTTATCAAATAGAGACTCGACAAATACACTTTGAATTTGTTCCTAGATAGCTTCAAACTCAATCTTCACATTTTTGAATGTAAAACTCTGAATCATAAATTTGCTGACAAAATTTTAGTTCAATCGGACCATAGATCGACTTCTGTTCAACCAACTCTCCCTTTTTTCTTTTCTCTCTATTTTTTTGGCTTTTTTTTTTTCCCTTTCCTTTTTGGTTTTTGTGGCGCCACCTTCTTTTTTTCATGTTAAAATAGCTCTACTTTTTTTTATTAAGTAGCTAAGGCTTTATGTAAAAAAAAATACAAGACCTGTGAACTTTGATTGGTCCAAACTCAATTACATGGGACTGGACCTAATTTTTCTAAACAATCTTTCCCTCCAGCCCCATTAGGAGGAGATTCATCACTATAATAATTTTATTTAGAATTTACCTTGGCCAATGAACCCATTTCGATCAAGTTAACTACGAGCTTAAGCTTCTTCCTAAAAAGTGTCTTAATCAATATATCTACTACATTATCATCAAATATGAACTTTCTTTAACAACATCTGCTGTTTCTCAATTACTGAACGTAACCAGTGATATATAACATTAATATACTTTATTCTAGCATAGTACATGATATCTTACTCAAATCTAAAACACTCTGGCTATTATAGAATACTACATACTCTTTTTGATTCAACCCGAATTCAAAAAAAAAATGTTTCATCCAAAACATTTATTTACTTGCTTTGTAATATACTCAGCCTCTATAATTGACAAAGCAACACACTTTTGTAACTTAGACTGCCAAGATATAGCTCTTTTTGTAAAAGTGAACAAATATCCTGAAGTAAATTTTCTATCATTAAGATCATCTATCATGTCAATATTAGTAAACCCTTCTAGAATTGATTGTAAAACTTCATAACTCAAGCATATTTTTGAAGTGCTCCTTAAATATCTAAAAATCTATTTCACTGCTTCCTAATAAACCTTTCCTATATTAGA